ATCAGCCTGATCATCGCATAACAGACCCCGAAAACGCACTCCTCATTGTCTAACTCTCAAGCTGAGTGAAGGGGTATTTTCAGAGAACGATTATAGATTGTGACTTCCTTTTCAACTAACATACAGGGAGTCTTTTTTAGAACAGCAGCTCTCATCAAAATAAGTCTCTACTCTCTCTTCTCTACTCTCTCTCTCTCCTCTGTGTGTTTTGGTGAGTCTAGCTAGCTACCAGTCAGTCACAGAGAGATAGGGAGGACGTACAGCCAGAGGAAACAGACACACAACACCTAACAGAGATGTCTGGTGGTCCCCTCTCCTGCTTCTCCAAACAGGGAATACTCCTACTCTCTATCCTCCACTATGGTTAGTATTGTATGGATTCTTTACTTTCTCCTGTTCATGTTTTGTATCTATTACATGTACTTGCTTGCATAATAAAGTTAGGAAAACTGTTAAACGGTTAACTTCCTTGTTGGTTTGTACATGGTGTGTGTTGAATTTGAAGTGCCTTGTCAGTGATTGGTTGGATATCTCAAAACATTTACTTTGTTACTGTGTGATAACACCTCTGCCTATATTCAGACAAACATATATGGTGTTTTGATGCTGCATTTTTTAATGAAACACATTCCGTCTGTGATGGTGTGGTTGGATCAATAGCTTTTGCAGTGCCTCTGGAAAGCAGGAGATCTTACGATCATGTTCTAGATGCATGTCATTCATTAAATGTAAGGTGATACTGGATTGTATCCAATGTTTTTAAGGCGTCCCTTACAAAAATAACTCGCTATCACTTTATTTGGATAGTCCCAAGTAGGTCGTTTGTAGATGGTTTTTAGATGTTCAATAACTGTCAACAACATTTCCACTAACTATCTACTAACCCTAACCCTAGCCCTAACTCTAACTTTAACTCTTATCCTAACCTTAACCTTTACCCTAACCATTATTCTAAACCTAACCTTAACTTGAACTTAGCAAGCAGTTGCTTTTCAACAGATAGTTTGTTGATAGTATGACCATCTGTAGATCATCTACAGTGCAATCGGAAAGTATTCAGACCCCTTCCCTTTTTCCACATTTTCTGACATTACAGCCTTATTCTAAAATGGAATAAATAAATACAAATTCTCATCAGTCTACATACAATACCCCATAATAACAATGCGAAAACAGGTTTTTTGACATTTTTGCAAATGTATTAAAAATGAAAAAACAGATACTTTACTTACATAAGTATTCAGAACCTATGCTATGAGACTTGAAATTAAGCTCAGGTGCATCCTGTTTCCATCGATCATCCTTGAGATGTGTCTAAAACTTGATTGGAGTCCACCTGCTGTACATTCAATTGATTGGACATGATTTGGAAAACACACACCTGTCTATATAAGGTCCCACAGTTGACAGTGCATGTCAGAGCAAAAACCAAGCCATGAGGTCGAAGGAATTGTCCGTAGAGCTCCGAGACAGGATTGTGTCGAGGCACAGATCTGTGGAATGTTACCAAAAAATATCTGCAGCAATGAAGGTCACCAAGAACACAGCGGCCTCGATCATTCTTAATTGGAAGAAGTTTGGAACCACCAAGACTCTTCCTAGAGCTGGCCGCCCGGCCAAACTGAGCAATCAGGGGAGAAGGGCCTTGGTCAGGGAGGTGACCAAGAACCCGATGGTCACTCTGACAGAGTTCCAGAGTTCTTCTATGGAGATGGGTGAAACTTCCAGAAGGACAACAATCTCTGCAGCACTCCACCAATCAGGCCTTTATGGTAGAGTGGCCAGATGGAAGCCACTCCTCAGTAAAATGTACAAGACAGCCCGCTTGGAGTTTGCCAAAAGGCACCTAAAGAACTCTCAGACCATGAGAAACAAGATTCTCTGGTCTGATGAAACCAAAATTGAACTCTTTGGCCTGAATGCCAAGCGTCACATCTGGAAGAAACCTGGCACCATCTCTACGGTGAAGCATGGTGGCATCAGCATCATGCTATGGGGATTTTATCCAGCGGCAAGGACTGGCAGACTATTCAGGATCGAGGGAAAGATGAACGGAGCAAAGTAAAAAGAGGTCATTGATGAAAACCTGCTCCAGAGTGCTCAGGACCTCAGACTGGGGCGACGGTTCACCTTCCAACAGGACAACAACCCTAAGCACATAACCAAGACAATGCAGGAGTGGCTTTGGGACAAGTCTCTGAATGTCCTTGAGTGGCCCAGCCGGAGCCCACACTTGAACCCGATTGAACATCTCTGGAGAGACCTGAAAATAGCTGTGCAGCGACGATCCCCATCCAACCTGACAGAGCTTGAGAGGATCTGCAGAGAAGAATGGAGAAAATGCCCAAATACAGGTGTGCCAAGCTTGTAGCGTCATACCCTAGAAGACTCGAGGCTGTAATCGCTGCCAAAGTTGCTTCAACAAAGTACTGAGTAAAGAGTCTGAATACTTATGTAAATGTGATATTTCAGTTTTTAATTATTTATTAATTTGTACACATTTCTAACAACCTGTTGTTGCTTTGTCATTATGGGGTATTGTGTGTAGATTGATGAGGGAAAAAAACAATTGAATCAATTTTTGAATAAGGCTGTAACGTAACAAAATGTGGAAAAAGTCAAGCGGTCTGAATACTTTCCGAATGCACTGTATCTGGGACTATCCAAATAAAGTGTGACCAAGTAACTCTTGCATAATAAGTTCCACTGCAGGACAAGAAAAACTGCTGATATGTCCTACATATTAAAGTTTGCTTCATTGTAACTGCATTATTTTTTTCATAATTAATTAAAGAATACATTTTTTAAAGGTTAATAATACATGATTGATTGTTGCCCATGGAGTGTATGATGCATTTCTGGTGCATAATTACACAGTAAAAACATTATATAATATTAATAAAATAATAAATAATAATAATAGTAATTATAGTAATATTAGTAATAATAAAAAGAATAGTAACAATACAAATAACAGTAATAATAGTATTACAAATATATATATATATATATATATATATATATATATATATATATATATTTAATAGTAATAACAATAATAATAACAACAATAATAATGACAATAGTAATAATAATAATAATAATAATAATAATGATAATAATACATGGTATTTATATAGAGCTTTTCATGGATCCAAAATGTTTGCATTTCCACATACAGTGGGGGAAAAAAGTATTTAGTCAGCCACCAATTGTGCAAGTTCTCCCACTTAAAAAGATGAGTAAGGCCTGTAATTTTCATCATAGGTACTCGTCAACTATGACAGACAAAATGAGAATTTTTTTTCCAGAATATCACATTGTAGGATTTTTAATTAATTTATTTGCAAATTATGGTGGAAAATAACTATTTGGTCAATAACAAAAGTTTCTCAATACTTTGTTATATACCCTTTGTTGGCAAAGACACAGGTCAAACGTTTTCTGTAAGTCTTCACAAGGTTTTCACACACTGTTGCTGGTATTTTGGCCCATTCCTCCATGCAGATCTCCTCTAGAGCAGTGATGTTTTGGGGCTGTCGCTGGGCAACACAGACTTTCAACTCCCTCCAAAGATTTTCTATGGGGTTGAGATCTGGAGACTGGCTAGGCCACTCCAGGACCTTGAGATGCATCTTACGAAGCCACTCCTTTGTTGCCCGGGCGGTGTGTTTGGGATCATTGTCATGCTGAAAGACCCAGCCACGTTTCATCTTCAATGCCCTTGCTGATGGAAGGAGGTTTTCACTCAAAATCTCACGATACATGGCCCCATTCATTCTTTCCTTTACACGGATCAGTCGTCCTGGTCCCTTTGCAGAAAAACAGCCCCAAAGCATGATGTTTCCACCCCCATGCTTCACAGTAGGTATGGTGTTCTTTGGATGCAACTCAGCATTCTTTGTCCTCCAAACACGACGAGTTGAGTTTTTACCAAAAAGTTCTATTTTGGTTTCATCTGACCATATGACATTCTCCCAATCCTCTTCTGGATCATCCAAATGCACTCTAGCAAACTTCAGACGGGCCTGGACATGTACTGGCTTAAGCAGGGGGACACATCTGTCACTGCAGGATTTGAGTCCCTGGCAGCGTAATGTGTTACTGATGGTAGGCTTTGTTACTTTGGTCCCAGCTCTCTGCAGGTCATTCACTAGGTCCCCCCGTGTGGTTCTGGGATTTTTGCTCACCGTTCTTGTGATCATTTTGACCCCACGGGGTGAGATCTTGCGTGGAGCCCCAGATCGAGGGAGATTATCAGTGGTCTTGTATGTCTTCCATTTCCTAATAATTGCTCCCACAGTTGATTTCTTCAAACCAAGCTGCTTACCTATTACAGATTCAGTCTTCCCAGCCTGGTGCAGGTCTACAATTTTGTTTCTGGTGTCCTTTGACAGCTCTTTGGTCTTGGCCATAGTGGAGTTTGGAGTATGACTGTTTGAGGTTGTGGACAGGTGTCTTTTATACTGATAACAAGTTCAAACAGGTGCCATTAATACAGGTAACGAGTGGAGGACAGAGGAGCCTCTTAAAGAAGAAGTTACAGGTCTGTGAGAGCCAGAAGTCTTGCTTGTTTGTAGGTGACCAAATACTTATTTTCCACCATAATTTGCAAATAAATTCATTGAAAATCCTACAATGTGATTTTCTGGATTTTTTTTCTCAATTGTCTGTCATAGTTGACGTGTACCTATGATGAAAATTACAGGCCTCTCTCATCTTTTTAAGTGGGAGAACTTGCACAATTGGTGGCTGACTAAATACTTTTTTTCCCCACTGTTGTTGATTTGTACTTAGACGTGAGCAGAGGATCATTTATTGATAAAGATCCACCCCACTTCTCTTTTTCTGTAATCTCATCCTGTTCTGCTGAATGTGGGGGAGGAGTGGACTTTAATAAAGTAAAGTATAGGACCCACACACTCAAATATGTAAAGATATGTTAAATGTGGATATTTAAAGTGTCATACAGTATAAATGACACCTGGAAAAGTGCTATTTAAATTAAATCCATTATTATCTATTCATTGATGGGGTAACACTCTACATTGCAGTGTATTATTGTGTCATTATTTGTGTAGGCACACTGTAGGTACACTGTGTACAGTGTAACAATGAGTAACTACAATACTTTCTACACTGTACTTACATGAATAATAAATACACAGTAATTACAGCCCTGTAGTGTAAGTGTAACCATTGATTGATGTCAGAATGTCATGTTGTGTATTTGTGTGTTTCAGGTGTGGGTATTTCTAGGTTGTTCAACAAAGGAGTGGGGGACTCAGTGGAGCTGCCCTCAGGCTTAGAAAGGAAAGATTTAATGTCAATGGAGTGGAAGTATAACAAAATGGTCATTGCAGAATTTGAAGATAACTTTACCTTACCAAGATCCCAGTTTGAGGGGAGACTAGAGATGAACGAAAATAACTTCAGTTTAACAATCAGAGAACTGACACTGCAAGACTCAGGGGAATTTCTAGTTTCTGCCGCGTCAAACGAAGGAAAACAGACTCCAACCATGACCATCCATCTTCAGATCCATGGTATGCTGCTTTGTGTTATTCCAAAGTTGTATCCTGTATTTCTCCTGAAGGTATGGTCCATTTAGAATGATTTAGAATGATTCTCTCTCTCTCTCTCTCTCTCTCTCTCTCGTCTCGCTCTCTCTCTCTCTCTCTCTCTCTCCTCTCTCTCTTCTCGTCTCTCTCATCTCTCTCGATATCGCTTATGGCTCTCTCTCTCTCTCTCTCTCTCCTCTCTCTCTCTCTCTCTCTCTCTCTCTCTCTCTATCTCTGTGTTTCTCTCTCTGTTTATCTCTCTGTTTCTCTCTCTCTCTTGCTCTCGCTCTCTCTCAGAGCCTATATCCAAGGTGGCGATCCAGAAGAAGATGAAACTATTGGCCAACCAGTCCTGTTCAGTGTGGCTGCTGTGCAACGTGTCTGTCTGCTCCAACCTCTCCTACACCTGGGAGAGAGGGAATGAGACGTACAGGGACGACCAGCAGATACACTTCTCTCTGTCACCAGCAGATGGAGACATCAGTGTAACCTGCAACGCCTCCAACTCAGTCAGTTGGAAATCTGCATCTACAACAGTAAAGTGTAGTAATGACACAACAACCCCAGGTAACCAGATATCATAATAATCCACTCCATACACTTTTCATACAGTGTGCTTCTGTGCTTATGTTGTCAAATATAATATACAGTATTATGTAGTACATGTGATGACATTGGGTAGATATAATATACAGTATTATGTAATACATGTGATTACATTGGGTAGATATAATATAGAACTCTGTAGGCTTTAGCATATTGCAGAGTCTAATCCAGTGGTTCCCAGCTCCAGTCCTCCAGTACCCCCAACAGTACACATTTTTATTGTAGCCCGGGACAAGCACACCTGATTATACTTGTCATTAATCATCAGGCCCTCATTGAGTTAATTCAGGGTTTTTTTTTGGTCTGGGTCTACAACATAAAATGTTTGCTGTTGGGGGTACTAGAGGACTGGAGTTGGGAACCACTGGTCTAATCCAGTGTTTCTTAGTCCTGGTCCTGGGGACCCAAAGGGGGGCACAATTTAGTTGTTGCCCTAACACTACATGCTTGATTCCACTAAGGTATGATGATGAGTTGATTAGTGGAATCAGGTGTGTTAGTGCTAGGGCAAAAAAGAAAACGTGGACCCCTTTGGGTCTCCATGACCAGGTTTAAGAAACACCAGTCTAATCACATCTGTATTATAGAGGATGATACATTGCTGGCCTGGTATTGGAACTACATCGGGGTACCAGTAGGTGGCGCTGTGGTGCTGATCCTCACTGTAGCTGTGGCAGTGTATTACTGCAGGGGCCGCTGTAACACAGGTTTGTACAGCATAGGGGCCTCATCTATACTTAAAGGGACATTTTAGGCTCTGGGTGTATTCTTAGGATGTTTATGATGTGGCATAAGCATAATTAGATATTTTGTTCAAAATGTTGGGCTTAGGGATATTATGGAAATCGGAAAGAGAGTGTGGAACCTCATAAGTGGGTAATTTATTAATAACTGGGTATGTTTGTGGATATCCTGTTTAGTATCTGTCTGATTGGTTTATATTTTGTTCTTGTCATAAACAACAGATCTAACTGACAACACAAGAATGAAAGATGTAAGTATGCATTGCCATTATTATGTATCTGAATGTGTGTAAGCCAATGTGGGTCGTTCCACCCAGGGTTGCAAAGGGAATTTTGGTAACTTTCAAGAATTGTATGTAATTTATCACTAGACAACTAGAGCCCCTTTTTGGTATTTCAGATTATCACAGGTATCTGTAATTATCTCTGGCCTTCTGTGTGGCCTTATCACATGTAAAATATATGAAATAATTTAATAAGATGATTTTAAAGTAATACAATTGAATCACAAAGCTGTAAAAAAAAATCCAAAATCCAAACCATCAACTTGATGTTTAATATGAGGGTTTTAGCACAAATATCCTTTATATTTGTTTTACACGCTTAAAAAAACTGGGGTCAAACTGGTGGCACTTGTGAAGAAAGTTAATAGCGGGAAGAGTTACAGAGTTAATTGAAAATATGGCCACTGTTGATTAGATACTTTTTTTTATTAATTAGGCTAGTTTATCTTGAACCATATGGTCTATCCACTAGAAACTCACAGACAATAATGGACACAGCAGAGGTGTAAAGTACTTAAGTAAAAATACTTTAAAGTACTACATAAGTAGTCATTTTGGGTATCTGTACTTTACTTTTCTATTTATATTTATGACAACTTTTACTTTTACTCCGCTACATTCCTAAAGAAAATAATGTACTTTTTACTCCATACACATCCCTGACACCCAAAAGTATTCATTACATTTTGAATGCTTAGCAGGACAGGAAAATGGTCCAATTCACACACTTATCAACAGAACATCCCTGGTCATCCCTACTGCCTCTGATCTGGTGGACTCACTAAACACAAATACTTTGTTTGTAAATTATGTCTGAGTGTTGGAGTGTGCCCATGGCTATCTGGTTTGCTTAATATAAGGAATTTGAAATGAGTTATACTTTTACTTTTGATACTTAAGTATATTTTAGCAATTACATTTACTTTTGATACTTGAGTGTATTTAAAACCAAATAGTTTTAGACTTTCACTCAAGTAGTATTTTACTAGGTGACTTTCACATTTTCTACTAAGGTAGCTTTACTTTTACTAAAGTATGACTCACCTGTTTTTACACTATGATTTGAGTACTAGACTATTAGATGAAAATAGTTTATTTTGAAAAGCGTATTTAAAAGGAATAGTTTCATCATATTAAAATGAGAGTTCAGTTCACATAACAGGGTTGTCCTTAAAATGAGGGACAGGCATCAATGAATCCCTAATTGCATTAAATAAATAATCATGTTCAGAAATTACTGCTAAAGCAACAAAACAACTAGAGCTTTACAATAATGGTGAAAACTTGGAGAAATGTTGGGGTTAAGTGGGCAGTATCTTCCTAGAAGGGCTTCCCGAGTGGTGCAGTGCTGAGGCACCACTACAGCCTTGGGTTCGATCCCTGGCTGTGTCACAGCCGGCCGTGACCGGGAGATCCATGGGGCGGCTCACAATTGGCCCAGCGTCGTACGGGTTACGGGAGGGTTTAAAAAAAAGAATATTCCTAGAAGTCACAAGGTGCATGGAGGGACATGTCAAAATGTTGAATTTTGCCACATTAGCAAATATTTATTCAAATAGAAAATCAGATGTATTCAATTCTCCACGTGGTCTAAAGGGCACATAATGTAATATAACAGGCTTTTTAAAATTCAAATGTACAATTTATACATAAAATATCAAAGGGATGTTCCTCTGGATTATATGTATAAAGTGGTTACTATGGAGACTCTGATGTCCAAGCACTGTTTTCATGGAACGACCCATCTACAGTGGGGAAAAAAAGTATTTACTCAGCCACCAATTGTGCAAGTTCTCCCACTTAAAAAGATGAGAGAGGCCTGTAATTTTCATCATAGGTACACGTCAACTATGACAGACAAAATGAGAAAAAAAATCCAGAAAATCACATTGTAGGATTTTTAATGAATTTATTTGCAAATTATGGTGGAAAATAAGTATTTGGTCACCTACAAACAAGCAAGATTTCTGGCTCTCACAGACCTGTAACTTCTTCTTTAAGAGGCTCCTCTGTCCTCCACTCGTTACCTGTATTAATGGCACCTGTTTGAACTTGTTATCAGTATAAAACACACCTGTCCACAACCTCAAACAGTCACACTCCAAACTCCACTATGGCCAAGACCAAAGAGCTGTCAAAGGACACCAGAAACAAAATTGTAGACCTGCACCAGGCTGGGAAGACTGAATCTGCAATAGGTAAGCAGCTTGGTTTGAAGAAATCAACTGTGGGAGCAATTATTAGGAAATGGAAGACATACAAGACCACTGATAATCTCCCTCGATCTGGGGCTCCACGCAAGATCTCACCTCGTGGGGTCAAAATGATCACAAGAATGGTGAGCAAAAATCCCAGAACCACACAGGGGGACCTAGTGAATGACCCGCAGAGAGCTGGGACCAAAGTAACAAAGCCTACCATCAGTAACACACTACGCCGCCAGGGACTCAAATCCTGCAGTGGCAGACGTGTCCCCCTGCTTAAGCCAGTACATGTCCAGGCCCGTCTGAAGTTTGCTAGAGTGCATTTGGATGATCCAGAAGAGGATTGGGAGAATGTCATATGGTCAGATGAAACCAAAATAGAACTTTTTGGTAAAAACTCAACTCGTCGTGTTTGGAGGACAAAGAATGCTGAGTTGCATCCAAAGAACACCATACCTACTGTGAAGCATGGGGGTGGAAACATCATGCTTTGGGGCTGTTTTTCTGCAAAGGGACCAGGACGACTGATCCGTGTAAAGGAAAGAATGAATGGGGCCATGTATCGTGAGATTTTGAGTGTAAACCTCCTTCCATCAGCAAGGGCATTGAAGATGAAACGTGCCTGGGTCTTTCAGCATGACAATGATCCCAAACACACCGCCCGGGCAACGAAGGAGTGGCTTCGTAAGAAGCATTTCAAGGTCCTGGAGTGGCCTAGCCAGTCTCCAGATCTCAACCCCATAGAAAATCTTTGGAGGGAGTTGAAAGTCCGTGTTGCCCAGCGACAGCCCCAAAACATCACTGCTCTAGAGGAGATCTGCATGGAGGAATGGGCCAAAATACCAGCAACAGTGTGTGAAAACCTTGTGAAGACTTGCAGAAAACGTTTGACCTGTGTCATTGCCAACAAAGGGTATATAACACAGTATTGAGAAACTTTTGTTATTGACCAAATACTTATTTTCCACCATAATTTGCAAATAAATTCATTAAAAATCCTACAATGTGATTTTCAGGATTTTTTTTCTCATTTTGTCTGTCATAGTTGACGTGTACCTATGATGAAAATTACAGGCCTCTCTCATCTTTTTAAGTGGGAGAACTTGCACAATTGGTGGCTGACTAAATACTATTTTTCCCCACTGTATGTGTACTGTATTCCACTATACTGTGTACTGTAATTGCTGATAGGCAGTGTTTTTGTGCAATGTTCATCCATTTTGTTTATAGGTTTAAGTACCTTGTTCTGTATATATTCCAGACAAGATCAAACAGTCAGGCAATGTCCATCTATGAGACTGTAGGTGATCTGGCTGTCCCAAGACTGAACACGGTGAGAGCGAGACATGAATGGTCATACCTGATATCTTTGAACATAAATAAAATAAAACTGTCTCTGCGTGAATAGGAGACTATGTAGTCTACTTGGAAATTGTCTACATTTCATAATGCTGAAACAGTTTCTTCTTGGTTGCCTGTCACATTTAGCCGCAGACTCTGTATGACAAGATCACATTTGGACGCCAGCCAGAAGCCCCTTCTTCTTCCAACCAGGAAGTACTGTGAGCTGAACAGGATGTGGTCATAAGCTGGGCTTCTATAGATAAAGACCCCTCTGCATCCTCAGCATCCTTCATGTGTACCTTCTGTACATAGATGTTACTGTTTCATTTCATCACGACCTGCACATTTCTGTTTTGTTTTGCTTACTTGTTCAGAACTACAATCTTCGTCTGTTCATGATCATTATGTGGTACAACCTGTTATTTTCAAGATATTCAGAGTTACATAACTAATTCTTAGGTTCTAATAGCAATACAAAACTATTTTCTTAAATATTACCGGTGATACTGTTTCAACAAGAGTTGAAAACAATTTATTTGTATTTGTATGTATTGTAGTTTAGATGTGTATTGTACAGTAAAACATTTTACATTCCACAGACATGCTTTGTAGAAATCACATAGGACACATTCCCATCAATTCAACATATGCTCACAAACTATATTTTCTTGTTGTGTGAAAGTAGACAATGAATAGACCTTAAAACAATAATACTGTCTTTACATATTGAGAAAAAGGAGAGAACATCCTAATAAATATAATGATTTGTAGAAATCATAACGCATAGATCATATAATGATTCACAGTCACAAAAGTGCAGTATTTGAGAAAGGCTACCTTCAAGTGATAGAAAAACATGAATTACAACATAAATTACATTTTTGTATTTCAGGTGTATTATCCTCTTCATTACAGAATAATAATAATAATAATAATAATAATAATAATAATAATAATAATATATGTATTTTATTTAGCGATTTCATTTAAGAATCTCAAAGTCACTTTAAAAAACGATCACAAAAACAAAAGGATCTGGCAGATTCTTGGGCGATTGGATTCAACAGCTTCAGATGATAAGGTATTGAGGCAGAATGGATAGACAGTAGGTTGAGTGGGGGAGCATAGATGGTACAACCAGGGAGAAATGTCAGTCAGGGCAGGTGCTCTTCATCAGGCACTTTGTCAAGTACGATGTTCAGCTCCTCTCTATAGGTAGACTGGATTTTTTTTCAAATCCCGAAAGTGTAGCACCCACCTGGTTGATGCTTCGACGCCTGTAAAAACGCCAAAAAATACCAACAAACCTTGGTATAGAAATTTGATGTACATACCCACTGGTCAAACAGTCAAACACTGGTTGAATCAACATTGTTTCCACGTCATTTCAACCAAAACAATCTATGTGAGGAGATTGAATCAATGTGGAAAAGTGATTGGATTTGAAAAAAATCAGCAATGTAAGGGCATTTCATATTTTTTTCACCAACCTTTTAACCTAAATCCAATGACATGCTGATTTTTTGGGGTTGATTTCACATTGAATTCATATTAGTTGACAACCAAACTCAACCAAACGTAAATCAAAACTAGACGTTGAGCTGTTTGATGTCTGTGCACAGGGGGAAGTTGTTTCTAAAGAAAAGCTACTTACTTGTTGAACCTGATTGATAAGCATGTGAGGGACTCTATGACAAACATAAAACAAGGCAGTCAGTGATATCTTCTATTTTGCACCTAGCACACAAAATATAGGTTGTAACACGTCTTCATTTCAGCTAGAACTTAAATTAAGGGAACGTTTATTTATACACAAGACACTGTGAAATTTGATAGAAATTAAAATTAGTTGTAATTTAACTCCCACTCACCTCTGAAAATATATGTTAAAAGACATCCAAACAGAAATCCTAAGAGCAACTTTATGATCCCGGGGACACGGGTCTCCCCGTCCACCACCACGTCAGGCTTGGGCTGTTCATCTGAGGACATAGGAGAGAACAAAATAGTGTGGTAACAAGGTAAGAACACAAATAATGCCTCACTTTGTTCACAAATTCAACCGCAAGCTTGACCAGCATCTACAATAATTCCTCCCTGTCTTACTGCATAGCTGGCTGGCCTAAGAATTCCCTGCCCAAAGGTTCATGAATACACCAGTTTTTCCTGGTCAGGTCATGTGTTACAGAAATAAATCCTGGCCCTAGAAATGACTGTACCTTGGCATGTCTCCCTCACAACCCTAGAGGCGTTAGTGAGCCCATTGCTGGCAGTACATATGAAGGTGACATTTCTGTTGGGGCTGTAAGACGACCAGACAACAGATATGTTGGCATTGGGACTCCCCCTCCAGAAGGAGCCATCAAACGAAGCCTCTGGTTCCCAAGAAAAGCTGGTGTCCTTCACTGTAGAGGAGCACTGAAGAGCCATCACGCAGTAGCCGTCCTTCAAAACGCTGAAGACCTTACGAACACTAGGCTCAATGAGACGCTCTGGACATTTGAACAGAAACAAAGGAAGGTCTTGTGAATAGATAACACATTTTACATAACCAAAACTGGCAATGAAATTTGAATAAAGTAGATATAAAAATTAGCAACACTTTGAAATGATTTTAAAGAACAGTTTTGCCTATAATAAATAGGCTATCAAACTAGTGAAATGTACAAAACGTAAAATTCCCAAACTTTTACTTCTGGGTGTGGAGGGTCAATTATGTCCAATGATTGCATTTTGTCTCACTTGCGCCCCTAGAGGCAAATCTTGTATAAATCCTACAGAGTGCACATTTAAAACAGGGCACGGTTGTGATTGAGACCCTTACCTGTCACAGTGAGCCGTACCTTACTGATCTGCTGCTCTCCCTGACCGTGTGTGAGGAGAACAGAGTAAACCATGTCATCCCCTCTCCTAACATCTCTGATCTCCAAGTCACCAGACGAGGTGTTGATACTCAGTCGACCCTTAAACGGCCCGAACCATTCTGTGTTGCGATTTTTGCCCTTGAACGTTGCAATCCAGGTATCGTTATTGTATATGGACCACGTTATCTTGGTGATGTGCCAGGATGGGTTGGCTCCAGAAGATAAGGTGACAGACTCTCCCAGGTAACCAATGGTATCTCCCATCACCACTGAAACATAACAACCAATCTGTTACTGTAATGGAATGTCTGGTCTGATGATGGCGGTAATGTTTACAGGAATAACCAAATAACTAGATGAAACACATAATTGATATAATAGTAATATAACAGTATATGTTTCTCTTTGGATATAAAATAATCATCAACTTAATCATCATCATCATCATCATCATCAATATTCTGAGGGTATGAACATAAATTACTACATACATTACTAGCTATATTAATAATTATTCAGCAGAAGAAAAAAAAAGAGCATAACAGGTTTTATGATAACTGTCAATTAATTGAGACTAGAATAGTATAGATATTATCTCATTCACATGACCATGTTTTTTAAGTCTGGAACTTTCTCTGAGTTTCCTTTTTCTGTTTTGTTCATGGGGTGAGACTTTCGCAATACATATCAAATGGAGGTTTGACATCTTAACCTTAAACACATTGTATCAAAACTAGTACATTTTGCCTAAACGACTTTTTCTCATACACGTACAACTATTTTTTGGAACAATGTTGTAAATCTTCAAAACAGAGTCCACGAGACACAGAACTCTGTGGCCTTTTGCAAAACAGGAAATGTGTTTTCAAAATGTAGTTGCCTTCTCAAAGCCTAAATGCATTCATCCAAACTACATTATACCGTCAAAATTGCAAATACATTAATCAAAAGAACACGACTGCCTGCAAAAAGATCTCTTGAGTCCAAGCAGACCAAACAGTGTGTTTTAAAAATCCCAGTAGATCAATACATTTTCTTTGCAGTCACTAAAAACTGTAATACTAGACAGAGGAAAGTTGATGTGTGCTACACACCATCAGCAGTGGAAAAAGTACTCAATTGTCATTCTTGAGTAAAAGTGAATATACCTTAATAGAAAATGACTCAAGTAAAAGTGAAAGTCATCCAGTAAAATGTTACTTATGTTAAAGTCTAAAAGTATTTGGTTTTAAATATACTTTAGTACAAAAAGTTAATGTAATTGCTAAAATATACCTGATTATCAAAAGTAAAAGTAAAAGTATAAATAATTTCAGATTCCTTATATTAAGCAAACCAGACAGCACCATTTTCTTGTTTTATTATTTTACAGATAGCCAGGGGCACACTCCAACACTCATAAAGTGATAACGGTGACATCATGGCAAGTGCCCTCATCAGGGTTTGAGGTCAATCCCATTTCAATTCAGGAGATAATTTAAAAGTCCAATTCAAAGATTTTCTTTACATTCCTGTAATATAATTTCAATTGACATCCTAGATTGAAATAGAATTCACCCCAATCCTGCCTCTTGTAGCTAATTCCTCAAAGATGACAGACAATATCAACAACAACAGACATTTAGAGAGGCTCTCAACACTATCAAGCAAAATGGAAAAGTAGAGTAAGAAGCCTACCTGGTAAGACTGTTAGGAGAGAGAGAACTAAAAGTTCTACACGTATCATCTTCAACAAGACTTTAAAAATGGACCCTGTTCCTCTCTGACACAGAGTCTTATTTCTAGTATCAACTTCCTTCTGTGGTTATATTTCTGTTATATACAAGGCCTCCAGAATGTATTCACACCCCTTTACTTGTTCCACATTCTTTTGTGTTACAGCCTGAATTTAAAATTGATTAAATTGACATTTTGTGTCACTGATCAACACACTGATTGACCCCATAATGTCAAATTATTGTTTGTAGAACATTTTTAAATAAATAATTTAAAGCTGAAATGTGTTGAGTCAATAAGTATTAAACTTTGTTATGGCAAGCCTAAATAAGTTCAGGAGTAAAAATGTGCTTAACAAATTGCATAATAAGTTGCATAGACTTATTCTGTGTTCAACAATAGTGGTTAACATCATTTTTGAATGACTACCCCATCTCTATACCCAACACATACAATTATCTGTAAGGTCCCTCAATCGAGTAATGAATTTCAAGCACAGATTCAACTACAAAGACCAGGGAGCTTTTTCATTGCCTCACAAAGAAGGGCACCGATTGGTAGATGTGTTAAACATAAAACAAAATAAAAAGCAGACACTGAATGTCCCTTTGAGCATGGTGAATTTACTAATTAGGCGGTGGATGGTGTATCAATACAACCAGTCACTACAACGATACAGGCGTCCTTCCTAACTCAGTTGCCGGAGAGGAAGGAAACTGCTCAGGGATTTCACCATGAGGCCAATGGTGTTTTTAAAACTGTTAAAGAGTTTAATGGTTGTGATATACGTGTGACGAGGTGTGAATGAAGGAGTCAGTGTCACGAACGTTGAGAGATGGGTCAGACCAAGGTGCAGCGTGGTATGCGAACATGTTTATTAAATCAAATAAACATAAACAAAACAAGAAACAACGGAACGTGAAGTCCTCAGGCTACACACATACAAGCCTAACACGGAACACAAACAAGATCCCACAACTCAGGCAGGAAAACTGGCTGCCTAAGTATGATCCCCAATCAGAGACAACGAGCGACAGCTGCCTCTGATTGGGAACCACACCCGGCCAAACATAGAAATACAAACATAGAGTTTCACACCCTGACTCAACCTAGCCACTCGCTCTCACAATAAACAATCACTCACAAAGGACAAGGGGGCAGAGGGAACACTTATACACAGACTAATGAGGGAACAAGTACCAGGTGTGTGTGTTTGACAAGACAAGACAAGACAAATGGAGTGATGATAAATGGAGCGGTGACGACGAACACCGAAACCTGCCCGAGCAAGGAGGAGGGGCAGCCTCGGCTGAATTCGTGACAATAAGAAAACTGAGGATGGATCAACAACATTGTAGTTACTCCACAATACTAACCTAAATGACAATGAAAATAAGGAAGCCTGTACAGAATACAAATATTCGAAAACATGCATCCTGTTTGTAAAAGGGCACTTAAGTAATACTGCAAAAGCTAAATTACCTTTTTGTCCTGAATACAAAGTGTTATGTTTGGGACAAATCCGACAACACATCACTGAGTACCACTCTTCATATTGTCAAGCATGGTGGCGGCTGCATCATGTATGCTTGTCATCGGCAAGGACTAGGGAGTTTTGTAGTATAAAAAGAAACAGAATACAGCTATAAACACAGGCAAAATCCTTGAGGAAAACCTGGTTCAGTCTGCTTTCCAACAAACACTGGGAGACTAATTCACCTAGCAGAAGGACAAGAACCTAAAACACAAGGCCAAATCTACACGAGTTGCTTACCAAGACGACATTGAATGTGCCTGAGTGGCCTAGTTACATTTTTTTTTCTTCAAATCAGCTTGAAAATCTATGGCAAGACGTAAAAATGGCTGTTTAGCATTGATCAACAATCAACTTGAAATAGCTTGAAGAATTTTTTTAAGAATAATGGGCAAATATTGTACATTTCAAGAGTGCAAAGCTCTTAGAGACTAACCCCAAAAGACTCACAGCTGTAATCGCCACCAAAGGTGCTTCTACAAAGTATTGACTCAGGGTTGTGAATACTTATGGAAATTTGACACTTCTGTATTTCATTTTTAATACATTTGGCAAAAATTCCGAAAGCCTGTTTTCACTTTGTCAGTGTAAGATATTGTGTGTAGATGGGTGAGAGGAATAAAAATAAAAATATATTTTTTTGAATTCAGGCTGTAACACACCAAAATGTGAAATAAGTCAAGGGGTATGAATACTTTCTGAAGGCACTGTACGTACTTTTAAAATAAGTTTGTCAAAGCGCAAGACAAAAAATTATTGCACACAGTTCCTTTTGCACACAGTTCCTTTTGAATACATTATTACTAAGCATGAACTCGAACTATGAAAATAATTATCAATATCATCCCAATACGCGGCTAGCATAAACAAAACGATGCTCATTTGAGAACTATTCTAGAGCATGTGTTATAAGCCTATCAAGGCGTATTACAGAAACGTTCCTCTCCCACCCCCTTTCACACTAGTTAACCACAGTAAATGTCTGTTAAACTTGCACCTGCAAAATGTTCAGTGGTGGAAAAAGCACACAATTGTCATACTTGAGTAGAGTAAAGATACCTTAATAGAAAATGGCTCAAGTAAAAGTGAATGCCACCCAGTAAAATACTACTTGAGTAAAAGACTAAAAGTATTTTGGTTTTAAATATACTTAAGTATCAAAAGTAAATGTAATTGCTAAAATATACTTCAGAATCAAAGTAAAAGTATAAATAAATTCAGATTCCTTATATTAAGCAAACCAGACGGCACAATATTTTTATTTTTTTATTATTAACGGATAGCCAGGGGCACTCTCCAAATCTCAGACATAATTTACAAACGAAGCATTTGTGTTTAGTGAGTCTGCCAGATCAGAGGCAGTAGGGATGACTAGGGATGTTCTCTTAATAAGTGTGTGAATTGGACCATTTCTGTCCTGCTAAGCATTCAAAATGTAACAAGTACTTTTGGGTTTCAGGGAAAATGTATGGAGTAAAAAGTTCATTCTTTTATTCAGGAATGTAGTGAAGTAAAAGTAAAAGTTGTCAAAAATATCAATAGTAAAGTACAGATACCCCAAAAAACAACTTACTTTAAGTAGTACTTTAAAGTATTTTTACTTAAGTACTTTACACCACTGAAAATGTTTACAGAGAGGTGATGACGGCCCAGTGGAAGCAGTTTACAATATTTAAGACCATTTATTTATTTATATTAGCAGAATTGAGAAGTGTTTCAGTAGAGGAAGAAGGTATCTTCTGCGTGACCGGCGTAACACTTCTTGTTTCCACACACGCCTTTTTCTAAAGAACTGACTGACATTTAAACAGCGAATAAATCATGCCCCCACACACACCCCCGCACAAGGTCAGCTTCCATGACGATGCTTGTGGTCTGTAGGGTCTCTCCTGACGTGAAACTCCTCCCCGTCCTCAACTTCCCTCCTGTTCCAAAAAACGTTGAGGTCAACTCTGCTCACACTAAGAACATACAATATATTGTGATAGAGAGAGAAAGAGAGAGAGGGAGAGAGAGAGAGAGAAAGAAATTGAGAGAAACAGACAGAGAAAGGGAGAGAGAGACAGAGAGAGAACAACGCCACATACCATCATATCAAGAGAGATCATTTATTAAAAAGGCTGTAACAATTTAGTCCTAAAATTATCCAAAATTAAAACATTTTTCAACTTCATAACCGCAATCTACAAATGTCTTTACAACACATTGGTCTTAAAAAAAAGGTTAGGGACTTTACTTCGACATGAAATGATACAAAAAATTGCAGCAAAAATGTAACTTTACAAAACGTCATGTAACTACATGCATGCATCAGGGTTTATAATGAAATGAAGGTGGAATGAACACTTTTTCAGCCATTGTCTAATAAACATACGGTACACATATAAAAAGCGATAAAACCATTTATATACAACATAGGAGACTACAGTAGCTGTAAGCCGCCAAAAAGCACAAGAACCGTTGTGTGTGCAGGACCCATTAGGACTGTTACTGATAGTCACCTCAGCCTATGAATCGAACAAATCATCAAACACAATGTTTCCATCTTAAACCACACACTCAACACAAGAGGCTGCTGAGGGGAGGACGGCTCTTTATAATGGCTGGAATGGAGTGAATGGAATGGTATCAAACACGGAAACCATGTGTTTGAGGAGTTCGATACTATTCCATTAATTCCATTCCAGCCATTACTATGAGCCCCTCCTCCCAAATAAGGTGCCACCAACCTCCTGTGACACTCAAGTACAGGTTAATAAAAGCAACTGTGTTTTGGTCACATGTTCAGAACAGTACAGTAGTCATGTGGTACACTAGTCATCGCTCCTTCCTCAAACAGTGTGCACCAAAAAGTGTAGACTTGTTTACTTCGCTTCACTTCACTGATGACTGGTATAAGAAAGATGGTGGGACACTCCCTCTAGCCCATGCCTCCACCAATCCAATGCTTTTAGACTCGTGGGAAGTAGTACAAAAGCACTTCAGGAGAAAATTGATATTATTGTGACACGCCCCTGTTTCTGGAATGGAGTGGGATTTGGCAGGAAAAACTAAAATAATGTCTCATGATGTGACAAGTGGTTCAGTTTTTTTTTTTGTATCTGTTCCTCATTATAAAACCAACACTGGAATACACATAAAAAGTCCCCAACATAATATTATCCATTAACGTCACAAAACATGTCCAAAACATTGTATTTCTTGTTAAAAAAAAACAGCCGGTTAGTGTTTCAGCTAAACATTCGTCAGCTGTCTCTAGAAGAACCCACTTCCTTGGGACCAGTAAGCAGATTTAGTCCAATGAAAATAGTTCCACTATCAGGAAGCAGTCCATATATTGGTTGATTCAGTGATATTTCAATCACCTGATTGGTTGATGTAGTAGCTTATTTGCAACTTTTGCAAGCACATATAGTTTCTACTTGACTAGTTATTTTTCATATGTGTTCCTATTCACATGTATCTCTTCGTTGAGCCTATACTGCTTAACAGCCCATCAGCTTATTGGTTAGTAACATCAGGGGCGCAACTTTAGTTTTAGAAGTGGGGGGGACCTAATTATTATTATTTTATTTTTCTATCCTGTCGGATAAACACTACAAACAGCCTACCCGACCGCTCTGAGGCGTCCGCATGGTCCTAAAGCACACCACAGCCTCGTTTTGTATCACATTTCAATGCTAAAACTGTGGGGGACAAAAATGCAATCTCAGAATGTGGGGGGGACATGTTCCCCCAGTCCCCAGTGAAAGTTGCGTCCCTGAGTAACATAGTAATGTCAACTTCAATTGGCCGGTTGTGAATGTAGTGCAGTTATTGCCAAGGAATGAGAAACATACAGGTCCCAATGACTGTAACAAAGTAACACACACACACCGTTAATAAAACAGGACAGCCACAGAGGTCTCTCCTCCAGCCCTTGGTGGCAGACGCCACATTTCCACTGCTTTGTGTGAAAACAGAGAGATAGCTGTCTAGACAGTGCTACACCTACGATGTGTCTGAAAAAGCACCCCATTTCCTATATAGTGCACTACTTTTGACCAGGGCCCCCATAGGAAATAGGGTGCAAAAGTAGCGCACTATATAGGGAATAGGGTGACATTTCGGACTGAGCCTTAGAATTGGGAGGTATATATGCTGTGGAATGTAGAACTAAGGACGTCTACTATGAGGTTTTCTAACCAAAATCCAGGGATTTTGAGAAAACACAGCAATTGAGTTGTGTTGAACAGTCATCATCATCGTAAAGGGTTTGGGGTGGATTTAAATCACATAAGGTGGTTATTACATTGTTATAAACAGAGATAATAGGCGCTATGAGCTGTATTAAGGTCTGTGTAAGTGTAATAACTCCCTATGTCCCAGTCATGGGAACAGTATCAAGCTACATGGTGTCAACACGCTCAGGTCTAGGTGAGGCTGATGCATTGTGGGAATGATCAGCTCATGGGAGTGTCTGATTGGTCAGTCATAAACAGTAAGAGAGGACCCAGAGAGAGTTGGGCTCTGAGTAAAGTTGAAAATGTGTCTCTCTCTGTTCTTTTCCCCATCTCATTCTCTCCCTCTCTCTTTTTTCACCTTTGTGTCTTCTCTCTCTCTCACACAGAGGTCAACACTGAGAGAGTTGGGCTTTGAGCAAAGTTTAAACATAGTCTCTCTCTTCCTCGCTCATATCTTCTCTTCTCCGCTCTCTACCCTTTACTTCCTCTCTACCGTTGTGTCTTTCTCTCCCTCTCTACACAGAGGTCTCCGACTGCAGCCTCATGACGAACTTGTGGCTCTTGGGGTCGATAAACTCCTCCCCCAGGTGGAGGAATGGAAGGGGCGTCACTGTGACGACCAGGGAGAAGTCGAGACGCCGCAGAGAGAAAACCAGACCCGGGCGCAGGGCGGACGTCACCGGCTCCTCGCTCACCAGGGTCCACTGGCGCCCCCTACCATTCTCCCGCTGGTACTGCATAGTAGGGCCTGGGGAGAGGTAGCGCTCTAGAAAGGCCTGAGAGAAACACACAGAGAGAATGAGATAGACAGTCTGACAGGGTGCGACATCTTGTCATATCGAAAGTGGGTTCACGTTTGTGGTGAACACTTTCTCTCAGGTGAATGTTAAGTAGGCTAGATATGATTCATCAAGTGAATCATGCTTATTCTAATCCCTTTAAGGTCATGAATACCTCAAGTTTAATATTAGGTCATGTATGGTTATGTCAAGGGTATAGGTATCACATGAAGAATGTATGAATCATATCTTACTGCCTGAGAGGCATCTAAGGGGTCATGTTGTAAGTGTGTAGGGGACATATTAAGGGGGTATAGGGGCTCACCTTGGGGGTCATGGTAAGGGTGTAGTGGTAATGTTAAGGGTGTAGTGGTCATGTTAAGGGTGTAGTGGTCATGTTAAGGCAGTGGTGGTCATGTTAAGGGTGTAGTGGTCATGTTAAGGGTGTAGTGGTCATGTTAAGGGTGTAGTGGTCATGTTAAGGGTGTAGTGGTCATGTTAAGGGTGTAGTGGTCATGTTAAGGGTGTAGTGGTCATGTTAAGGGTGTAGTGGTCAGTTAAGGTGTAGTGGTTATGTTAAGGGTGTAGTGGTCATGTTAAGGTGTAGTGGTCATGTTAAGGGTGTAGTGGTCATGTTAAGGGTAGTAGTGGTCATGTTAAGGGAGTAGTGGTCATGTTAAGGTGGTGAGTGGTCATGTTAAGGGATGTAGTGGTCATGTTAAGGTAGTAGTGGTCATGTTAAGGAGTGTGTATGTAAGTTGGTCATGTTAGTGTAGAGTGGTGTAGAGTTGGTCATGTTAAGGGTTGTAGTGGTCATGTTAAGGGTGGTAGTGGTCATGTTAAGGTGTAGGTCATGTTAGTGTAGTGTCATGGTTAAGGGTGTAGTGGTCATGTTAAGGTGTATGTCTTAAGGTGCAGTGTCATTAAGTAGTGTATAAGTTGGGTCATGTTAAGGGTGTAGTGGTCATGTTAAGGGTGTAGTGGTCATGTTAAGGGAGTAGTGGTCATGTTAAGGGTGTAGTGGTCATGTTAAGGGAGTAGTGGTCATGTTAAGGGTGTAGTGGCTCACCATGGGGGTCATGTTGTGCGTGATGCAGAACTGCAGGTGGTTGATAATGCTCTCCATGCTGTGGTAGGGCTGCTGGCGCGTGGTCCTCAGGTACTTCTGCATGGCCCGGGCCATGGGGGCGAAGATGGCCTGAGCCGCCTCCCGGGGGTCCATCACCTCACGGGGGTGTTTGGGGGATGAGGCGGCCGGCTCGTCATCCTGGAGACGCTTGATGTGCGTAAAAGCCTCCTCTACCGCCACCACCAGTCTGGGAGGAGGTAGGGCACGTGTTATGGATATTACATTTTAGACTGGTATACAGTTCCTGTATATCTTGTCTTGGGGGCACCAATGGCAGCCTTTTTAAGCATAATTGGCTAGTTTTAAATATTGCCATCCCTGTCTGACAAGCTCACCTGGCCTTACGCTTGCGGACCCTGCGCTCCATCTCTGCCTCCTCATAGTAATACTCATTGTGGGAGTTATCTCTCCTGCGGGCCGCCGCAGCGATCATCGCTCTGGACTGACCTGTAGAGTTATTGGTGCTGTTCTCTGGAAGATAAATCACAATAAAGAAAAAGCAAGCAACATATTCATTTAGCAAAGAACTTGTATCACTATGCGAAGACAATAAAGAGAGGGGTGAAAAGCGACTGAGGGAAAATAGGTATGAAAGGAGGAGAAGAGGAGAGAAGGAAGGAAGGATAGTATCGAGTCTTACCTTCTCCCAGAGTGTAGACTTTGAAGCCAGAAATCTTCTTAGAGAGGATGGCCTTGGGCAGGTTGAGGAGAGCAGGGTTGTAGACTGGGAAATCACTGTAGTACTGGTCCAACACCCACACTGCTGCTCTCTGGATACTGGAGAGAGACAAACAAATCTGTCATTACTATGGAAAACATTCTAATTATCATCATAATCATCACCACCAAGATCAACATCATCCTCATCAACATTACCATCATTATCATTATCATCAGTAGCATCATCGTCATTATCCCTTCTGCAACATATTCAAACAAGTGTTTTACCTTCAATAGTAGCACATGTAGCACAGACTATAGGACAGATGTGGTACTGCGGCTATTTTAGATCAGCTGTCAGCTTCACCGCTTCAGTGCCTCTCTAAACAGACTAGGGTGGGAACCAGATAACTACTGGAGCAGACACAACCTCCCCCATTGGATCATACGCATGAGTGCTATCCAAATAACCTGATGCAACCTAAACACTCACACCATTCAAATGACACACGCAACAAACCGGCTGATGAGGTAATGCAGGTTTCAGTTCAACTGATTGAATGGTGGGCCAACCACATTGTTATCATAACGGTCTCAGAAACTAAAACCAATGCTGAGGGTATAGTATGAAACATGCAAATTAACACCCAAAAAAACAAACATTTGATAGCACCTGCAGAGACAGGAAAACCACACTGATATTAACATGAAACATAACACACTAAAACACACACACATTCCATGCTTTATGAAAAACTACACATGCACAAGTAACATTCATGAAACTTCACATACACACTGTAATAAACACCCACCTGAGGTGTCCCACGTTGTAGAAGCGACTAGCCCCGTCGGTGGTACGCACCATCTTGAGGCAGAAGGCAGGCTGCAGGTGTCTGACCTCCAGCAGCACTAGGGCCAGGTACTGGATGAAGAGCAGCGCGTCCACCAGTGACGCCGCGTACCCCACGATACCCCTGTAGTCCCTCTCCCGGGGCTCCAGCACACGCACGCCGTAGAACAGCCAGTAGGACGCTACGAACAGGAAGACGAGTGCCAGCAGCAGGCAGCGGAAGACGTAGAAGCGGGGCAGGGTGGCACGCGGCGGGCGTAGGAACAGAGCCCAGGTGGAGATCAGGAGGACCAGGAGTTTGAAGGCCAGTGAGACGTAGAGGCCCTCGCAGGGCGTGCCGCAGGGCTCCAGGGACTCACGCCACAGCAGCTGGGGCAGAGCCAGGAAGGCCAGGGGGGTGACCAGAGCGAAGAGGCCCAGGACGGCACCCAACGCAGGGCCAAGGAAACGACGGCATTCCAACGGGGAGGACTCCTCGAGCTCCTTGGAGACGCGCGTCAAGTCCTCGTTAGAGACGCTGTGTTCTGATGTGCCAGTCTGCACGGTGGTGGTTTCACCCCAGTTATCATCCTGGAGTAGGGAGAAAGAGGGGGGAGAGAGAGAGAGAGAGATTGAGAGAGATTTATTTGAGCATATGTTGGGAGGTCATAGAGGAGAGGAAATATTACCTGAACAAATGGGAGAGGACAAGAGGATAATGAGAAAGAGACAGACTAGAGAAAGACAGATTACAGAAAGACAGATTACAGAAAGACAGACTAGAGAAAGACAGACTAAAGAAAGACAGACTAAAGAAAGACAGACTAGAGAAAGACGGACTAGAGAAAGACAGACTAAAGAAAGACAGACTAAAGAAAGACAGACTAGAGAAAGACGGACTAGAGAAAGACAGACTAGAGAAAGACAGATTAGAGAAAAACTGACTAGAAAAAGACAGACTAGAGAAAGCCTGACTAGAGAAAGTCTGACTATAAAAAGACAGATTAGAGGAAGAAAGACTAGAGAAAGCCAGACTAGAGAAAGACAGACTAGAGAAAGACAGACTAAAGAAAGACAGACTAGAGAAAGACGGACTAGAGAAAGACAGACTAGAGAAAGCCTGACTAGAGAAAGCCTGACTATAAAAAGACAGATTAGAGGAAGAAAGACTAGAGAAAGAGACAAACTAGAGAAAGCCAGACTAGAGAAAGCCAGACTAGAGAAAGACAGACTAGAGAAAGACAGACTAGAGAAAGACAGATTAGAGAAAGACGGACTAGAGAAAGACAGACTAGAGAAAGACGGATTAGAGAAAGACAGACTAGAGAAAGACAGATTAGAGAAAGACAGACTACAGAAAAACAGATTAGAGAAAGACGGACTAGAGAAAGACAGACAAGAGAATGACGGACTAGAGAAAGACGGACTAGAGAAAGACGGACTAGAGAAAGACGGACTAGAGAAAGACAGACTAGAGAAAGACAGACTAGAGAAAGATGGACTAGAGAAAGATGGACTAGAGAAAGACAGACTAGAGAAAGACAGACTAGAGAAAGACAGATTAGAGAAAGCCTGACTAGAGAAAGCCTGACTATAAAAAGACAGATTAGAGGAAGAAAGACTAGAGAAAGAGACAGACTAGAGAAAGAGACAAACTAGAGAAAGCCAGACTAGAGAAAGCCAGACTAGAGAAAGACAGACTAGAGAAAGACAGACTAGAGAAAGACGGACTAGAGAAAGACGGACTAGAGAAAGACGGACTAGAGAAAGACGGACTAGAGAAAGAGAAAGACGGACTAGAGAAAGACAGACTAGAGAAAGACAGACTAGAGAAAGACAGACTAGAGAAAGATGGACTAGAGAAAGACAGACTAGAGAAAGACAGACTAGAGAAAGACAGATTAGAGAAAGCCTGACTAGAGAAAGCCTGACTATAAAAAGACAGATTAGAGGAAGAAAGACTAGAGAAAGAGACAGACTAGAGAAAGAGACAAACTAGAGAAAGCCAGACTAGAGAAAGCCAGACTAGAGAAAGACAGACTAGAGAAAGACAGACTAGAGAAAGACGGACTAGAGAAAGACGGACAAGAGAAAGACGGACAAGAGAAAGACGGATTAGAGAAAGACAGACTAGAGAAAGACAGATTAGAGAAAGACAGACTACAGAAAAACAGATTAGAGAAAGACGGACTAGAGAAAGACAGACTAGAGAAAGACGGACTAGAGAAAGACGGACTAGAGAAAGACGGACTAGAGAAAGACGGACTAGAGAAAGACAGACTAGAGAAAGACAGACTAAAGAAAGACAGACTAAAGAAAGACAGACTAGAGAAAGACGGACTAGAGAAAGACAGACTAGAGAAAGACAGATTAGAGAAAAACTGACTAGAAAAAGACAGACTAGAGAAAGCCTGACTAGAGAAAGTCTGACTATAAAAAGACAGATTAGAGGAAGAAAGACTAGAGAAAGAGACAGACTAGAGAAAGCCAGACTAGAGAAAGACAGACTAGAGAAAGACAGACTAGAGAAAGACGGACTAGAGAAAGACAGACTAGAGAAAGACGGACTAGAGAAAGACGGACTAGAGAAAGACGGACTAGAGAAAGACAGACTAGAGAAAGACAGACTAGAGAAAGATGGACTAGAGAAAGACAGACTAGAGAAAGACAGACTAGAGAAAGACAGATTAGAGAAAGACAGACTAGAGAAAGACAGATTAGAGAAAGACATATTAGAGAAAGACAGACTAGAGAAAGACAGATTAGAGAACGACATATTAGAGAAAGACAGACTAGAGAAAGACAGAGAGAAAGTCAAGTAAAGGTGGAGGATAACAGGATACAGACAGATAGAAGATAGTGTTGATAGTGATGGGAAATGTATTGTAGGAAAGGACTGAACTCTGACCCTGTCATCTCCACGGGTGGACTCTGTGTCCAGTAGAGGCTCTCCAGGGGCCTGGATGGTGACTGACTTGTCTCCACGACTACTGCCGTCTCTGCTCTTGGAGCGGTGCCTGTCCCGCCTGTCCCTGAACATCACACACAGAGACAGAAACAAAGGGTTAACCCTAATATAGGTCCTAGACTCTACTTTCTAGAGGTTAACCAAACCCCATCGTCAAAATATTATACACACTAAAAGCTTCTATAATGTAGGATGTGGTCACACGCAAGTGAAAGTGAATTTACAGTGTGTGTGTGTGTCCTGGTTGAGAAGGAGGCAAGGAGATATGATCCAGGGAAAGATGTCCCTGCCCTATACCACTCCTCTTTACACTCTCCTCATCCTACAGTGAGGGAAAAAAGTATTTGATCCCCTGCTGATTTTGTACGTTTGCCCACTGACAAAGAAATGATCAGTCTATAATTTTAATGGTAGGTTTATTTGAACAGAGAGTCAGAATAACAACAAAAAAATCCAGAAAAACGCATGTCAAAAATGTTATACATTTATTTGCATTTTAATGAGGGAAATAAGTATTTGACCCCCTCTCAATCAGAAAGATTTCTGGCTCCCAGGTGTCTTTTACACAGGTAACGAGCTGAGATTAGGAGCACACTCTTAAAGGGAGTGCTCCTAATCTCAGCTTGTTACCTGTATAACAGACACCTGTCCACAGAAGCAATCAATCAGATTCCAAATGGCCAAGACCAAAGAGACCAGATTCCACCATGGCCAAGACCAAAGAGCTCTCCAAGGATGTCAGGGACAAGATTGTAGACCTACACAAGGCTGGAATGGGCTACAAGACCATCGCCAAGCAGCTTGGTGAGAAGGTGACAACAGTTGGTGCGATTATTCGCAAATTAAAGAAACACAAAATAACTGTCAATCTCCCTCGGCCTGGGGCTCCATGCAAGATCTCACCTCGTGGAGTTGCAATGATCATGAGAACGGTGAGGAATCAGCCCAGAACTACACGGGAGGATCTTGTCAATGATCTCAAGGCAGCTGGGACCATAGTCACCAAGAAAACAATTGGTAACACACTACGCTGTGAAGGACTGAAATCCTGCAGTGCCCGCAAGGTCCCCCTGCTAAAGAAAGCACATATACAGGCCCGTCTGAAGTTTGCCAATGAACATCTGAATGATTCAGAGGAGAACTGGGTGAAAGTGTTGTGATCAGATGAGACCAAAATAAAGCTCTTTGGCATCAACTCAACTCGCCATGTTTGGAGAAGGAGGAATGCTGCCTATGACCCCAAGAACACCATCCCCACGTCAAACATGGAGGTGGAAACATTATGCTTTGGGGGTGTTTTTCTGCTAAGAGGACAGGACAACTTCACCGCATCAAAGGGACGATGGACAGGGCCATGTACCATCAAATCTTGGGTGAGAACCTCCTTCCCTCAGCCATGGCATTGAAAATGGGTTGTGGATGGGTATTCCAGCATGACAATGACCCAAAACACACGGCCAAGGCAACAAAGGAGTGGCTCAAGAAGAAGTACATTAAGGTCCTGGAGTGGCCTAGCCATTCTCCAGACCTTAATCCCATAGAAAATCTGTGGAGGGAGCTGAAGGTTTGAGTTGCCAAACATCAGGCTCGAAACCTTAATGACTTGGATAAGATCTGCAAAGAGGAGTGGGACAAAATCCCTCCTGAGATGTGTGCAAACCTGGTGGCCAACTACAAGAAACGTCTGACCTCTGTGATTGCCAACAAGGGTTTTGCCACCAAGTACTAAGTCATGTTTTGCAGAGGGGTCAAATACTTTTTTCCCTCATTAAAATGCAAATCAATTTATAACATTTTGACATGCGTTTTTCTGGATTTTTTTGTTGTTATTCTGTCTCTCACTGTTCAAATAAACCTACCATTAAAATTATAATTATGTCTTTGTCAGTGAGCAAACATACCAAATCAGCAGGGGATCAAATACTTTTTCCCTCACTGTAAGTATATACTGAGTACACAAAACATTCGGAACACCTTCCTAATATTGAGTTGTACAGTCAGTGTATATATATCATGTATATGTTACCCACCTGTGCTTCCTGGAGCTGCGGGAGTGCGAGGACTTATAGGAGTAGCCTGAGTACTGCGACTCGTTGTCCATGTCGGAGGCCGGTGGGCGGGGTTTGCCCCTGTGGGCCCCTCCTCCCCCCGTGCCGCGCTCCCCGGCTCCGCCCAGCTGACTCTTGCGGTGGCTGATGGACTTGGAGGAGAGGGCCAGAGGCAGGCGGAGGAGCTCAACCTTACTCCTGAGGGAATCTATCTTGGAGGCCGGAGGAGAGCGGGAGGACAGACCTGACAGCGAGAGGGAGATGGGGAGGAAGAGCGAAGGGAGAGAGAATGGAGAGAGAAGGAGGGGAGCGAGGGCGGAGGAAGAGAGAGAGGTGATGGGTGAAAGAGAGGAAGAGATAGAAAACTGTTTATTAACATTTCATTACCATGTAATTTATGCTATTACCATGTTATTAGTCCTATCAGATAGGCAGGCTGTCACAACAGGACTAAAGGGAAAACATGAGAGCTCAAAGGGATGTAACCTTGATATAGCGCTCTTTAAATAGGATTCAAAACAGCAATGTTGAAAAAACTAAAAAGAAATATGATCGCATTGCCTATTCACTCTGTCTGGGATATTGTCATGAAAGAACTCAGTGAGTTGTCAGTTTGCTTTCATCCGATAAACGTGGATTATTTCACAGCCTGCTCTCACAAGACACACACATGGAAGCAAGGATTGTCCATCATTGGGAGCTGGGTTAGAATAAGAGCTGGGTTAAAATAAAGTCATTTTTAGAAACAGCTGAAGAATCCTCATGATGAAGTTGTGGTAGAACTTCAGAGGTTTTAACCTCTATGGTTTCCCCTTGGATAGCCCAATAGTCCCCCTCATATGTTAGTTCAGATGGAAAATACACACCATTTAACAGCAACAAATTAGTTTCACCAAGCTGATAGGAGCTTGTTACTGCCTTTCATAATCCCAATTGTGCATGCACTACACACACACACACACACAGACACACACACTGCATTCCCCTACCATCCCCTGTGGTCTCCAGGGCAACAGAGCTTGGCTATTACTATGGGGATGAATGAGAGGTGATGGGTGAGAGGGGATGGGGGGCATGTTACCATGGTGACCTGACTATCAACTCCCCACCCTATCTCTCCCTTGCCTCTTCGTCTCACTAGAACGTGTTGCAAAGAACATGTCCAATGCCATTTTTGCTGGACCAGCACGGCTCTCTCTTGTCAGAGAGGCATTGACTCCTAATGTGATAATGTGTAGTGAATAACCACCTCTTTGCACTCTATTTCAGTCGTTCTCCGTCGCTCTCTCACTCCAATTCACTCAACTGTTTATGGAACCACATAATAGGTTTCATGTGAGAGTCAGACATGAGCTCCCTGGTTAAACACACACACACACACACACACACACACACACTATCTATTCATTCAAATGCCAATGACATTAGCTAGAATTCTACACAGGGTATTTGGAGGCCTAAGAGGCTTGATGTGAGTTACAACCAACCCATTTAATGAGCAACGAGAACAAAGTGAGAAACACCTACCCTGAAATATCAACTGCGTGCCCAGGCATTTTAAACATTGAATGAAATTGCTGAAGAAAAACAGATATGGACATCATTCCCAGGGGAATAGGGTTGTTTTGAGAAGAACTGAGCTACACGAGCCTCGCAGGAATCATTGGTCTAATCAAATGAATCAGGACAGACAGCTATAGAAACAGAATAATGTTAAGATGTTATACCTTGGGTTATTAACACTGCTAACAGAGGGTGTAAGCTAATGGTAATGTCAGCAATAACGGTTATTATAAGACAGCTGCTATAACTTGAGGGTATCCTCCTTAACCCTTAAACCACTGGCGAGGATCACCATTACTGAGTTCAATCAGAGTTCATCCTCTGAACTGTTCCATAGATGCAGTGAGAATTATGTTTAAGATGTCTTCCACTTGGTCAGATTGGACTATTGTCGATTACCTCCGCACCCCTCCCCCACCATGGGCTCTCTCTCCCAAAAGCAAAACTGGCTTCATTCTTGACCTGATTTTCTACGTGAATCACGGCTAAAAGTAGTACGACCCCCTTAAGCTTGGTTTATTCGATGATTCATCAAATCAGAACTGAACTCTGCGCCTCTCTCTCTCTCTCTCTCTCTCTCTCTCTCTCTCTCTCTCTCTCTCTCTCTCTCTCTCTCTCTCTCTCTCTCTCTCAGCAGCAGGGTATTATTGTGATTGGTGTGTGTGTGGAGGTGTGGTCATGGGAATGTGTTGTAGCCCAGTGGGGATATCACATTACCTATTATTCTCCATTTCCCCTGACCCATTTAACCCCAAACGCCTGTTAGTATTAATACAATGCAACAAAAAAGTATATAACCCAACCACTAGCGTGCGTGGAATATTGTGTGTGGTAGGCTGTGTGTTCCAGCCCTCTGCAACCATTTAACTGTAGGTCCCTGATTCAAGCAACACACAAATGTTCTGAGTGTTCCATCTGAAACCTCAATAGGTACCACCTGTGACTTCAACATAGTTTTGTGGGCTAAAAACAACCCAATTTTGGGTTATTTGGTAAACCAGCGCTGGTTTAATAGTGGACAGAACACATGTTGGGTTATTTTGACCCAGCCAGTTGGGTTGTTGGGAATAGGTTATTTTCAGGAGGTGTGACTTATTAGGGGCGTGTCTTTCAGCTAGCTCTTATTGGTCACCCATGAGAGTAAATGTCATTCCTGTTCATCATGTTTACATACTACAAATAAAGACTTGATTATTATTATTTTACATATTATAATAAGGTATACCATCTTATTGTATCCCAACCATGGGATTTACATAGGTTTTTAGGGAATTCATACACTTCTGTAAGGATCATTAAAAATGTCCATGTTCAACCTTAACATATGATAACTATGCAACGGAACAGATTAACAGGAATGACATTTACTCTCATGGGTGGCTAAAAACAACTATCTGAATGCGACGCCCCTACTAAACACACTGGGTCATATCTCAATAACCCAGCAGTTTTTAAAGAAAACAACCGAAAAAAATGACCCAACACCTGCAATCCAGCAGTTGGGTCAACCAAATAAAAAACCCAGCATTTTTGTGTGCGTAATAGGCTGTAAAAGTTATACAGTCCCATGTGGCAGTGCTGTGTCTGAATGCCTGCAGCTCCCATCCCTTCCACAGGCCTAGATGAAAGCCTCGGTGACGCAGCCGGGATCTGGGGCGTGGCGGCGCCTCAACCCAGAATAACTAAACTAATCGAGCCACAGGCTTCATGGGGCCTATCCATTACGCACCGGCTCTTTCCTCTGGTTGACACAATGAGCCGCATGCAACTCAGACACGCAGGAATTACGAAAGGGTGAGAATAGTCTATTTTACTGTAAACCTATTATTGGTCTTTACCCAAAATATTACGTTTCTCGGTAAAGGTTAATGAAAGGCGACATGTCAAACCCCGACTTGAAACAAAGTATCAAGTCTCACGCCCATGCAGCAGCACAGAGATGTAGGTTGTCGATACAGATTTTAGGGAACTAGGCTACATTGAGTCTGGTTGGAAAACCACAGCATGCTCCCATTCATCAACATAAGCTATTCTAAACGAGTTTTATACCTATGCGCGTCTTTGGCTCACATGCGTGAAAGTGCAATTTGGGTGAAATACTTCATGTTGTTGCCTGGAGACATGCAACTCAAACTCATCATGAGATAAATCTGACATTACTTTTTCTGACAACGGCAAATCAAGCCAGATGGGCGCATTACCTGTAAAACTATGTCGACGGATGATGTTATAATTAAATGTGCAAATATGTTGACCAATTATCCTATCCATCAATGCCACTTATTCATTTATGATAAACAACCAGCCAGCAATTCAAGGACTTGAATGGAAAAATTAACGGTCTGAGTGCTTTTAATAGAGGCGGTGAATGACACAAACCTGGCAGGAGAAATAAAAAATATTTTGAAATTAATTTTACCAAAAAATAACACTCCGAGCAGTTCAGAAAGCTTACCTTTCTTTTCAAATGTGCTACCCAAATTGGTAAAAAGTGAATTGTAGCCAAAAAATCTCGACACAAAGAAAATCCCAAACAGAGATTCAAATCAGGCGGCTGGGATGTACACATATCCACATTCAGTTTCCTTCCCAACTGCACCTTACAGGGAAGAAGGGTTTGTAATTTAATCCCTCTTCAAATACGATATCCTTTTCTCAGTTGAAAATCATCCAGGCTATACAAAAGACATGAGACGCATCCCATTCTCGGTTTCTGCATCTGTTCTTCGCTGGGAGCCCCGCTGCGCGTGTGAATACGGACATTCATCACCGAGAGGGGTGCGCAAGACATGAGACGCAATGCTTTTGTGTCGCATTAATAATCACAGAATAAAATCCATAGAGAAAATCCAAGTGTATGTTATATCAGGTAAATTATATAAATTCCATTTTGCAGTTATGAGAAGTCAAAATATCTTGCGCTTTTGTTCTGTAGTTCCTTCTAACCGCAAAACACCGTCGCCGGGTTTGGGACAAATGCTCGCCCCCCTATCCAAAGGGCGAAAATCCGCTGCAAGGTCCCTTCAGCCACCGTTTTTCTTTTGGTTTCTGTGTCCTAGTATGGAAACGGTTACCCGTTCACTCTTTCTGGATAACTAGGATCCGGATTCGATTAGTCTTTTCTTCATTCAAAACCCTATTGCTCTTTGCTTTCCAACCGTAAAATCAATGGCCGGCCTCCCTCCCCTCTCCGGAGTCCCCAACAACGGTGCTCCGCCTCTTTACTCCTCCACCGCCCCCTCTTCGCTCTCTCTCTCCCCCTCCTGGTTCTGTTAAATCTCACCTTCACTTCGCTGGTAGACGAGCCGAGTGCAGGGCATAATCCTTGCTCCCATTTCACCTTTATGAAGGACAATCACAGAACTGCAGTTTGTCCAATGAGCTTTACTACAGATGCGTAGACCTAATCCTCCCCAAACTGTCCGTTTAATTTAAAGCTGACTGACCCGTGGATGCTCCCTCAATTTAGCAAACCTAACAGATGTAGGCCTATTCCCCGTATTCTGTGCTCCAGAATTAGGCCTATGACCCAAATCCTACAATTATGAATTAATTAAATGTCCGAGCTCTTGAATGTAACTGAATATGTATTTGGACAGACATATAGATAGGGCTCAACCCATAGGAAAATAATGAATACATTCATTTTGATTTCTATGGCTCAACAGCTCCAGTCAGCGCGTGGCCCGGGGCATGCGCAGCAGTACTGAATGCGATTTCTCGTGCCTCAATTGTAGTGCAACACCTGTGCCGCATTACTAAACACATCATCACGTTTAAACACACTTTACTCTGACATGCATTGTCTGCTCGACTGAAAAGTGCGTTAGGCCTACTCAGCAGAAACCTACCACCCATGCACAAGTCCTCATAAAGGGTCAAATATATCCTCTTCCAACTCCGACATCAGGTGAATCTCAATTGTTTTTCCTCTCTCCTCACCTTCTTTTCCAAATGCATTGGAGAAAGTCCTCATAAACTACATTACCAAAAGTATGTGGACACCTGCTCGTCGAAGATCTCATTCCAAAATCATGGGCATTAATATGGAGTTGGTCCCCCCTTTGCTGCTATAACAGCGTCCACTCTTATGTTAGGGCTTTCCTCTAGATGTTGGAACATTGCTGCAGGGACTTGCTTCCATTCAGCCACAAGAGCATTAGTCAGGTCGGGCACTGATGTTGGGAGATTAGGCCTGGCTCGCAGTCTGCTTTCCAATTCATCCCAAAGGTGTTCGATGGGGTTGAGGTCAGGGCTTTGTGCAGGCCAGTCAAGTTCTTCCACACCGGCCTCGACAAACCATTTCTGTATGGACCTCGCTTTTTGCACGGGGGCATTGTCATGCTGAAACAGGAAAGGGCATTCCCCAAACTGTTGCCACAAAGTTGAAAGCACAGAATCGTCTAGAATGTCATATTGTATGCTGTAGCATTAAGATTTTCCTTCACTGGAACTAAGGGGCCAAGCCCGAACAATGAAAAACAGCCCCAGACCATTATTCCTCATCCACCAAACTTTACAGTTGGCACTATGCATTTGGGCAGGTAGCGTTCTCCTGGCATCTGCCAAAGCCAGATTTGTCTGCCGGACTGCCAGATGGTGAACCGTGATTCATCACTCCAGAGAACACATTTCCACTGCTCCAGAGTCCAATGGCGGCAAGCTTTACACCCCTCCAGCTTACACTTGTGCATGGTTATCTTAGGCTTGTGTGTGGCTGCTCGGCCATGGAAACACATTTCATGAAGCTCCCAACGAACAGTTCTTGTGCTGACGTTACTTCCAGAGGCAGTTTGGAACTCGGTAGTGAGTGTTGCAAATGAGGACAGATGATTTTTACGCACTACACGCTTCAGCGGTCCGTTCTGTGAGCTTGTTGCGATCCCGTTCTACCACTTTGCTGGTTGCTCCTAGAGGTTGCTACTTCACAATAACAGCACTTACAGTTGACCGGGGCAGCTCTAGCAGGGCAGAAATTTGACGAACTGACTTGTTGGAAAGGTGACATCCTATGACTGAGCTCTTCAGTAAGGCATTTTCTACTGCCAATGTTTGTCTATGGAGATTGCATGGCTGCGTGCACGATTTTATACACCTGTCAGAAACGGGTGTGGCTGAAATAGCCGAATCCACTAATTTGATGGGTGTCTATATACTTTTGTATATATAGTGTACCTTCTCCTCCAATGCATTTTGAGAAGGAAGCAAGGAGAGAGGACATGAGGAGTCAAGGAAATACAATTGAGATTCACCCATCATGTTAGTTGCCCTTGGACTAAGGTCAGTTTGGATTTCCCTTACTGAGTAGAATATTTCCTGGCCCTCAACATCAATACTTGGCTTACTTTACTTAAGCCCTTGGCTCCTTTCCTATAAGGCGAATACAGTAGGCCGTTGACAAATGTCCATCTTCCTCAGTTTGGGGCAAGTTTTCCCAGGTCAAACCAATTGAGGCTGCTCACGGTCACCTCCGCCTGGACAGCTCTCCTCCAAGTGGTCAACTTCAATATGGGAGGCCCTAAAAGGCAATACATTTGTCGGGCCCTTGAGAGAGAAATTGGCCCGATATTGCTGTACTCAATAGTGGATGTATAATGTTTGAATAAATATGCTTACTGGTAGCTTCATTTGATTCAGGATCTGTAAATGTTCAAGGTAGAGTTAGTGTCTTTCTCATATCAATGAGGGTGGGCGAGAGGACTCAAGTTTCAGGACTCAATCCTTTTTTCAAACAGTTATTTTTAATGTCATCACATTTTCCTTCTTTGCAGCTAACAATCTCACAATTTTTTTATACGGGAGAGAAAATAATTTACACTTTTTTCTTATTCATTTCTACAAAAATAAAATCTAAGAAAGGACTAAGGCTTTACAGAAGAAAAAAAACAACATAAAACAAGGTTGTAATTTCTATATTACAGGAGTGAACGAGATTTAAAATGAGAAAAGGATCATTAAAGACCTGTGTATGCATACCGTAGTTTTTTGTGCAGCGGTTTGACAAAGGGAAGGAAACATCAGTTCTAACCTCTATACGAGAGAGAGGTGGTTACAGAACTCAAGACCGAAATGTAGGAAAAACACAGAAGAAAAAGAAGCTACTCAAAAGAGAGGGTAAACGAACATAGAGATGAAAGTAAAAGTCTGGGATCGTCCACCATGCCTAGGTAAACGAAAAAACTGCATCCCCTCCGGAGCCCCAACACACACTTTAGTGTCACAGACATATCGTATGCTCACCACACACTTGAATACGGGATTACATACGGTTAACAGACTTCCTCTCCCAATAAATACAAGTTGTCTGTGCAGTAGGTGTCTTTCAGTTCAAACCTATGCTACTCTGTATAAAGTAATATCCCTTCAGTTTTTGGTGTGGCAGTACAGCAAACACTACTCATGGTATCGTAGGGAGGAGGGGATTCACAGTATTATACACACACAATACAGTAGAGCATTCTTTAGGAAATAATGACGACATGATAGACAGAAATCTGTGTATTCATTGAACATGTTTCCTTTTTCGTAGTGGTGATCCCTCTATGTCTAGTAGTGCTGTTGACCAGACAACAGCCATTCAGTAGAGAACAGAGCAGTAGCAGTGTTACCACGGCTTGTCACTGTAGTAACCAGGAATATGTCGTCGCTACAGACAACCCATCCCGTAGATTAGCAGCTGTACATACATGCAGGACTTGCTGCATTCGTCAGCATGACTGACCGACCGCAATCTTGGTTATCCCTAAACAACAACAAACCACCTCTTCCTTCATGGTGTTTCTCTCCTCTTGTGTGTGATTATGAAAACATATGTATCACATAACATGAGTGATATTATGGATGAATGAGGACTGTGCATGTTGTGATCTCTTTACTGCAATTAACCTGAATACATAGATATATAGACACAGTCCTTCGATCAGCCTCCATGGCAGGCATATTGTAAAGCAACCAGTGGTAAAGAACTACCATCTTGGCTCAAACTAGGTGCAGCTTTGACTCACAATGGAGCCGGTGATCTGTCCAGTGTCCTGTCCCTCACCAATCCAATCAGCTGTGGCGTATGGATACATGACAGAGGATGCATTGTGGGTAAAGTGCTTCAGTTGTCCATTTGTTGTTATTTTCTCAAAACTTGTCACTTCTCAACTCTCTCCCTTGAACCCCGTCTTCTTTTCAAAGTATACTGACTTTTCCTTCAAATGTAGCCAACCTTATTCATTCCATTCAACATTTCATCCTTGACATTACTCCTTGTCAATTTAGATTCCTCTCACTTCTAGTACTCTCTCTTTGCTTCTTCACTGCTTCTTTACTTCTCAGTTTCTTCCTGTTTTCCCCTTCATCCTCTCATCCCCGGACTCCTTCCTGCTCCACAGAGGTCAGGGGGCGGGAGCATCAATCCTGCATCACTTCCTGGTCTCCCAGGGCAACACCAATGACATCCCGGTACTTCATGGATTCTGCTCCCATGAGCAGTGCCTGCTGGGATTGGGGTGAGGGATGTGAGAGGGGGTTAGGGGGTAAAGGCTGGGGTCCCAGTCCATCAGTGTGTGTGCGTATGTCTACGGCAGGGTGGAGGTAAGTCTGTTAAGTCCTCCCTGAGATGACAGCTTTAGAATCCAGTGGAGAGGATCTTAGGCTTGGCTGGCTCTGCTGGGCTCGCCTCATTTCCTGGAGGGAGGGGTGGAGACAGAGAGAGAGGGAGGGAGGGGGGAGAAGAGAGAGACATAGAAAGAGAGAGAAAAAGGCGGGGAGAGAAAGAGAGAGGGGGGGAGAGAGAGACATAGAAAGAGAGAGAAAAAGGCGGGGAGAGAAAGAGAGAGGGGGGAGAGAGATAAAGAGAGAAAGCGAGAGAGAGAGAGAGAGAGATAAAGAGAGAAAGAAAGAGAGCGATAGATAGATGTCAATAACAGAGTTGATGTAAACACAGACAAACACAAACCAACAACCAGAATGGCCCATATTGAATTTCAAGGTTTAAGAAATGCCTTTATGAAAAGGTGGTATCCAGACCAAATCTTTCAACAAAACCTATTCTGAATGACCCTGACCTCTGACCCCTGAACTCACCGTCCCCCAGGTCCCGGTACAGAAACGGTGTCCTGGCGACGGTTCCCTGGTTACGAAAGAGGTCACCAGATTCCGGATTGACAGGTGGCTCTCTCAGTGTTTTCAGGAGCTGGTGATGAGCCGTCTCTATGTCCTGAGGGGGTTATGAGTGGAGAAAATGAAAAGTAAAAGGTTAGCGTGGAAATAATGTCAGTGTGTGTGTGTGTGTGTTTTAAACGCCTTACCCTCAGCTGGTGCAGCTTGCTCATCAACTCCTCGATGGTGTGGAAAATCTCATCCATGTTCTTGATCACATGGCTCTGGTGGCTCTTTTGTGATTGGCCCTGCCCTTCCTCCCGACTCAGATTTCCCCTCTCTGATTGGTTGTCCGCAGACATGATGGAAACGACCTGCCCTTCTTTCTCATGAGTCTGTACGGGCGATGACATCACTTCCTGTTCCAGATCAGGAAGTTCAGTGGAGGTCGGGGTGGTGGGGTCGTCAACCTCATCTGTGTGACTCTCGTCCAGCAGTCCCTCTCCCTGCACTGGTGGCATCACCAGGTAGAACACGTTTCCTACAGCACAGTCGGTTTACAGAGTTGCAATGAGCACCCTCAGGAACGAAAGACAATCTTCATGGTAAATTGACACTACAGCTGTGAAATCTTATAGTATGCAGCTATAGAGTATGCCCAGAGGGTTCTGTTCAGTAGGTATGAATTGGAAAACGTTTTGGGAATGGAAAAGTGAAAATGAGTGTTCTTATTGGACAAATTCAGGTAGAACCAAACTATCTGCGTTTCAAAATAGTTCTCTGAACATGACGCTGGTGTAGTAGTCAAACATGCTCAGACAGAGAGAATTGGACCTAATGGAAGATATTCAATGAAGGTTTGACGAGGGCAACTAGACTGTCTACTGGAGCGGTACCTCGTACACTGGCCTCGCCTCTCGGCTCAGAGGATTGGTCAGAGATGGAGTGAAAGACAGAGTGTGTGTGTGTGTGTGTGTCAGGCAGTAGATTTGTGTGTGTAGGGGAGCAGCTTCGTAGTGTCAAGGGGGTGAGAGTTTGAGTGTAAGTAGAGGGAGATGATGTGATATTGTATGAGAGTGTGACAGAAGGTGGTGAGACAGAAGAAAATAAAGAAAGAAAGAACGAAAGAAGAGATCAGAAGAAAACCAGATCAGTTGAATCTAAGAGCTTTGTGACCCTGCAGAAGGAAGAGGAGGAGTGTGTGACCCTGTAGAAGGAAGAGGAGGAGTGTGTGACCCTGTAGAAGGAAGAGGAGGAGTGTGTGACCCTGCAGAAGGAAGAGGAGGAGTGTGTGACCCTGTAGAAGGAAGAGGAGGAGTGTGTGACCCTGTAGAAGGAAGAGGAGGAGTGTGTGACCCTGTAGAAGGAAGAGGAGGAGTGTGTGACCCTGTAGAAGGAATAGGAGGAGTGTGTGACCCTGTAGAAGGAAGAGGAGGAGTGTGTAACCCTGTAGAAGGAAGAGGAGGAGTGTGTGACCCTGTAGAAGGAAGAGGAGGAGTGTGTGACCCTGCAGAAGGAAGAGGAGGAGTGTGTGACCCTGCAGAAGGAAGAGGAAGAGTGTGTGACCCTGCAGAAGGAAGAGGAGGAGTGTGTGACCCTGTAGAAGGAAGAGGAGGAGTGTGTGACCCTGCAGAAGGAAGAGGAGGAGTGTGTGACCCTGCAGAAGGAAGAGGAAGAGTGTGTGACCCTGTAGAAGGAAGAGGAGGAGTGTGTGACCCTGTAGAAGGAAGAGGAGGAGTGTGTGACCCTGCAGAAGGAAGAGGAGGAGTGTGTGACCCTGCAGAAGGAAGAGGAGGAGTGTGTGACCCTGTAGAAGGAAGAGGAGGAGTGTGTGACCCTGTAGAAGGAAGAGGAGGAGTGTGTGACCCTGTAGAAGGAAGAGGAGGAGTGTGTGACCCTGCAGAAGGAAGAGGAGGAGTGTGTGACCCTGCAGAAGGAAGAGGAGGAGTGTGTGACCCTGCAGAAGGAAGAGGAGGAGTGTGTGACCCTGCAGAAGGAAGAGGAGGAGTGTGTGACCCTGTAGAAGGAAGAGGAGGAGTGTGTGACCCTGTAGAAGGAAGAGGAGTGTGTGACCCTGCAGAAGGAAGAGGAGGAGTGTGTGACCCTGTAGAAGGAAGAGGAGGAGTGTGTGACCCTGTAGAAGGAAGAGGAGGAGTGTGTGACCCTGTAGAAGGAAGAGGAGGAGTGTGTGACCCTGTAGAAGGAAGAGGAGGAGTGTGTGACCCTGTAGAAGGAAGAGGAGGAGTGTGTGACCCTGCAGAAGGAAGAGGAGGAGTGTGTAACCCTGTAGAAGGAAGAGAAGGAGTGTGTGACCCTGTAGAAGGAAGAGGAGGAGTGTGTGACCCTGTAGAAGGAAGAGGAGGAGTGTGTGACCCTGTAGAAGGAGAGGAGGAGTGTGTTGACCTGTAGAAGGAAGAGGAGGAGTTGTGGACCCTGTAGAAGGAAGAGGAGGAGTGTGTGACCCTGTAGAAGGAAGAGGAGGAGTGTTGTGGACCCTGTAGAAGGAAGAGGCGGAGTGTGTGACCCTGCAGAAGGAAGAGGAGTGTGTGACCCTGCAGAAGGAAGAGGAGGAGTGTGTGACCACTGTAGAAGGAAGAGGAGGAGTGTGTGACCCTGTAGAAGGAAGAGGAGGAGTGTGTGACCCTGTAGAAGGAAGAGGAGGAGTGTGTGACCCTGCAGAAGGAAGAGGAGGAGTGTGTGACCCTGCAGAAGGAAGAGGAGGAGTGTGTGACCCTGCAGAAGGACGAGGAGGAGTGTGTGACCCTGTAGAAGGAAGAGGGAGGAGTGTGTGACCCTGTAGAAGGAAGAGGAGGAGTGTGTGACCTGTAGAAGGAAGAGGAGGAGGTGTGTGACCCTGTAGAAGGAAGAGGGGGGACCCGTAGAAGAAGAGGAGAGTGTGTGAGAAGAGGAGGAGTGTGTGACCCTGTAGAAGGAAGAGGAGGAGTGTGTGACCCTGTAGAAGGAAGAGGAGGAGTGTATATTATAAACAATCAGAGGCATTCACTTGTCATTCAGTAGTCTGACTTGATTTGACCATATATTAGACACTAAGGTGTCTCCACAAAGAAACAAGCAGTCATTTCATTAAAATGGACAACAATATGAGGTTACTGTCTAAATCTTCTGTCCTCGTTACCTTTCCTCACAACATGCACACTGGGGGACTCCACCTCCGAGGGCGGGGCTTCTGCATGCTCAGCCTCCCATTGGCTGGGACTGACGCTAAGGAGCGTCTCAGAGGACGCCGGCCTCTGTCGGTCATTGAACGGGCTCCTCTCATTGGCTGCCTCATTTGTGGGCGTGCCGACTGAGTCGTGACTCCACCCATCTTCCTCCAGGTCGCGTAAAATCAGCTGCCTTAGCATCTCCACTGAAAAAGGCAGAAAAAGGTATTGAATAAGTGGAAAGTTGATTCTCAACCAAACACATTCTAGTGACGCTAGTACATACTTATACAAAATCATATTTTAATATGTTGAAGTCAAGTCTCTTGCTTTCTCACCGTCTTCAAGAGCTGCCTCTGCTACGCCAATTTGTTTCTTGACGTAGTCCCGCCCCTCACCATAGAGGAAAGCCCCTGATTGGTCCGTTGGTGTGGTGGGCGTAAGCTCGTTGTCCTCATCGTTAGGGGAGTCCGTCTCCATGAAAACCACCTGCTCCGTCATCGAGTTGTCTAGGGAGATGAAAGATAATCAATGTGATGAACGACAGAGGAGAGTAGGGGAATATCCTACAGAAATAAATATTTATATCTGTACTCACTATAATCCACTTCAAAAACATACATTTCCTTACTAAGACGATTTGTCTCACCTGATTGATAGACATGGCTGCCAGTTGAGACAGGGGAAGCATTGCCAAGACTTGGGGAGCTGAGTGAGTGAGAGAGAGAGAGGAGAGAGAGAGAAGAGAAAGAGAGAGAGGAGAGAGAGATGGAATTAGTACGGCTTAGGACAACTATAGAGAATGGTCTGCAATGCTATCAGTCTATAGGTCTTCAATGGTAATTGATAGAAATGGGCCAGTTTAGGAATACTCACAAAATAGGTGTGGATCTGTTATTGGTCAAAGGTGAGGAGCCAGCAGCCAATGAGATGGTCTTTTCAAGTTGGTCCTTCCAGCTGTGAAAAATAAAAAATAAATAAAATGTCACTCAAAATGTCCACCAAAGCTTTTCCATGTGATGAGTAAAATGCTGCAGGTCAAAATCCTGATGAACCTCTCATGTATATTATCTGTAAACTGGTGGACTATATTCCTGGTATAGATATGGATGATGTAGATGTACTTACGTGTTTTTCTCTGAGGACGACCCTGCGACCAGTTCATAGATCTGTCTCTCTGTGGTGCTGATGACGTACAGGGCCTTGTTGTCTGAGGAGGGAATCATAGACACAATCAAACCATCATCATCACAGGGATAATAAAGCCATTATCTTATCATTATCTTGCACAATTCTCATAACGCTAAATTATTGAGATCCCATTTTCTGTTACTACATTGTTGTTTCAGCATTAACAAAAACAGTTGTCTAAATCTAACCCCAACCACTGATTCATCTATACACAACCATTGGCCACTCCACACTTTGTCCCATAACCCCTGACCTCTAACCTCTTACCTGTGGCCACAGAGCGCACCAGGAGAGAGTCTAGCTGGACCACGGGGCTGAAGGAGGCCTTGGTGTCTCCGCTACCCCCTCCTCCTCCCCCCAGCCAGCGGGACGGGCAGCGCAGCAGCAGCCGGTCGTCTGGACCTCTCTGGAGCAGAACCAGCAGGTCTGACAGCAGTAGGGCCTGGATCTCTGGGAGATGAGGGAGAACCAGAACCACATGGTTAGAACCCTTACAGAACACTGATAACTAGAACCTGCAGGTCTGACAGCGGTAGGGCCTGGATCTCTGGGAGAACCAGAACCACATGGTTAGAACCCTTACAGAACACTGATAACTAGAACCTAGAACCTGCAGGTCTGACAGCAGTAGGGCCTGGATCTCTGGGAGAACCAGAACCACACGGTTAGAACCCTTACAGAACACTGATAACTAGAACCTAGAACCTGCAGGTCTGACAGCAGTAGGGCCTGGATCTCTGGGAGAACCAGAACCACATGGTTAGAACCCTTGCAGAACACTGATAACTAGAACCTAGAACCTGCAGGTCTGACAGCAGTAGGGACTGGATCTCTGGGAGAACCAGAACCACATGGTTAGAACCCTTACAGAACACTGATAACTATAACCTATAACCTGCAGGTCTGACAGCAGTACGGCCTAGATCTCTGGGAGAATCAGAACTACATGGTTAGAACCCTTACAGAACATGGATAACTAGAACCTAAAACCTGCAGGTCTGACAGCAGTAGGGCCTGGATCTCTGGGAAAGGGAAAAATTGAAGATAGTCACCCAAAAAGTTAACAAGGCACAAAAGATTCAACTCCCAGTTTATTATCTTGTGACTGAAGCAACATTTCAGCAGAATCAGAACAGTGACTTCAATATGGAATACATGTCTAGGACAGTGTCGCCCAAATGGTAACTCGTAGCTGATTCTTTTTAGCTCTGGACAGAGTAGCCAACAGAAACTAAAGCACAACAGTTGTATCTGTGGAGTGTAGTGGGTCTTACCTAAGGTTTTGTCTTTATTGACTTTCCAGGTGAGAGGTCCCTCATGGATCATTGTCTTACTGGTCAGGTCCAGACTCTGACAGGACAGAGGACATCATCATAACAGCGCTGTTCTACTATGTGTTGGAGGGAAAGACTAACTTTGAAGAGGAGGAAAATACTAACTTTGAAGAGGAGGAAAATAGGACAAAAAGAGATCAAATCTGGGCGGTACCTTGAACTGTGGCGTGGGGTCCAGCCTGCGCTGGTATTGGTTGAGCCGTTGCCGGTGTTCCGTCTCCCTGACGACTTCATTGACGGCCTGCAGTATCCCGCGGCAACAGGCCTGTGCCCGTTGGAGAGGCGGGAGGTCTGTGGAGCCACCTGTAGGAAGAGGCGGACGTTACACCCAGTGACATCACAACATCAAATAGGACAAGTTAGTTCAAAGCAGTAGCTACTCTTACTACCACTACTAAGACTAACACACTCACCTAACTACTAAGACTAACACACTCACCTAACTACTAAGACTAACACACTCGGCTAACTACTAAGACTAACATACTCACCTAACTACTAAGACTAACACACTCGGCTAACTACTAAGACTAACACACTCACCTAACTACTAAGACTAACACACTCACCTAACTACTAAGACTAACACACTCACCTAACTACTAAGACTAACATACTCACCTAACTACTAAGACTAACACACTCGGCTAACTACTAAGACTAACACACTCACCTAACTACTAAGACTAACACACTCACCTAACTACTAAGACTAACACACTCACCTAACTACTAAGACTAACACACTCGGCTAACTACTAAGACTAACATACTCACCTAACTACTAAGACACTCGGCTAACTACTAAGACTAACACACTCACCTAACTACTAAGACTAACACACTCACCTAACTACTAAGACTAACATACTCACCTAACTACTAAGACTAACATACTCACCTAACTACTAAGACTAACACATAACCTAACTACTAAGACTAACACATAACCTAACTACTAAGACTAACACACTCGGCTAACTACTAAGACTAACACACTCACCTAACTACTAAGACTAACACACTCGGCTAACTACTAAGACTAACACACTCACCTAACTACTAAGACTAACACATAACCTAACTACTAAGACTAACACACTCGGCTAACTACTAAGACTAACACACTCACCTAACTACTAAGACTAACACACTCGGCTAACTACTAAGACTAACACACTCACCTAACTACTAAGACTAACACACTCACCTAACTACTAAGACTAACACACTCACCTAACTACTAAGACTAACACACTCACCTAACTACTAAGACTAACACATCACCTAACTACTAAAACTAACACATCACCTAACTACTAAGACTAACACACTCGGCTAACTACTAAGACTAACATACTCACCTAACTACTAAGACTAACACACTCACCTAACTACTAAGACTAACACATCACCTAACTACTAAGACTAACACATCACCTAACTACTAAGACTAACACACTCACCTAACTACTAAGACTAACATACTCACCTAACTACTAAGACTAACATACTCACCTAACTACTAAGACTAACACATAACCTAACTACTAAGACTAACATACTCACCTAACTACTAAGACTAACACACTCACCTAACTACTAAGACTAACACACTCACCTAACTACTAAGACTAACATACTCGGCTAACTACTAAGACTAACACACTCACCTAACTACTAAGACTAACACACTCACCTAACTACTAAGACTAACACACTCACCTAACTACTAAGACTAACACACTCGGCTAACTACTAAGACTAACACACTCACCTAACTACTAAGACTAACACATAACCTAACTACTAAGACTAACACATAACCTAACTACTAAGACTAACACATCACCTAACTACTAAGACTAACATCTCACCTAACTACTAAGACTAACATATCACCCAACAGTAACCTAATAAAGACCACTGGTGCTAAACTGTCAGACTGTGTGAGTGATAGAGAGATGGATCCTACGTACCTTTTGTGTTTGATGTTGTCCATTAACAGAAGAGAGTGATAGAGAGAGAGATAGAGAGAGAGTGATAGAGAGAGAGTGATAGAGAGAGAGTGATAGAGAGACAGATGATGGATCCTACGTACCCTCTGTGTGTTTGATGATGTTGTCCAGTAACAGAGGGTATTTGGTAAGTCTCTGTGTCTCAGACACCAGCAGGTCCTTCAGCTGCAGTCTCCTACAGTGAGGATTGGCCTCACACTCCTGTTAATACGTCAATACATCCATCCATCAAATCAATTAACGGAAAAGACATTGTGACTGCATGTGTGTGTGTGTTACCTGGATGATGATGATGTGTGTGTTACCTGTGTGTGTGTGTGTGTGTGTGTTACCTGGATGATGATGTGTGTGTGTGTGTGTTACCTGGATGATGCGTGTGTGTGTGTTACCTGGATGATGCGTGTGTGTGTGTGTGTGTTACCTGGATGATGCGTGTGTGTGTGTTACCTGGATGATGCATGTGTGTGTGTGTTCCCTGGATGATGCGTGTGTGTGTGTGTGTGTGTTACCTGGATGATGATGTGTGTGTGTGTGTGTTACCTGGATGATGCATGTGTGTGTGTGTTCCCTGGATGATGCGTGTGTGTGTGTGTTACCTGGATGATGCGTGCGTGTGTGTGTGTGTGTTACCTGGATGATGCGTGTGTGTGTGTGTTACCTGGATGATGCATGTGTGTGTGTGTTCCCTGGATGATGCGTGTGTGTGTGTGTGTGTTACCTGGATGATGATGTGTGTGTGTGTGTGTTACCTGGATGATGCATGTGTGTGTGTGTTCCCTGGATGATGCGTGTGTGTGTGTGTTACCTGGATGATGCGTGCGTGTGTGTGTGTGTGTTACCTGGATGATGCGTGTGTGTGTGTGTTACCTGGATGATGCGTGTGTGTGTTCCCTGGATGATGCGTGTGTGTGTGTGTGTGTTACCTGGATGATGCGTGTGTGTGTGTGTGTTACCTGGATGATGATGTGTGTGTGTGTGTGTTACCTTGATGATGATGATGTGTGTGTGTGTGTGTTACCTGGATGATGATGTGTGTGTGTGTGTGTGTGTTACCTGGATGATGATGTGTGTGTGTGTGTGTTACCTGGATGATGATGTGTGTGTGTGTGTGTGTGTTACCTGGATGATGTGTGTGTGTGTGTGTGTTACCTGGATGATGTGTGTGTGTGTGTGTGTTACCTGGATGATGATGTGTGTGTGTGTGTGTGTGTTACCTGGATGATGTGTGTGTGTGTGTGTGTGTGTTACCTGGATGATGTGTGTGTGTGTGTGTGTGTGTTACCTGGATGATGTGTGTGTGTGTGTGTGTTACCTGGATGATGTGTGTGTGTGTGTTACCTGGATGATGTGTGGTGTGTGTGTGTGTGTTACCTGGATGATGATGATGTATGTGTGTGTGTGTGTGTGTTACCTGGATGATGATGTGTGTGTGTGTGTGTGTGTGTGTTACCTGGATGATGTGTGTGTGTGTGTGTGTGTTACCTGGATGATGATGATGTGTGTGTGTGTGTTACCTGGATGATGATGTGTGTGTGTGTGTGTGTGTGTGTGTGTTACCTGGATGATGACGTGTGTGTGTGTGTGTGTGTGTGTGTGTGTGTGTGTGTGTGTGTTACCTGGATGATGACGTGTGTGTGTGTGTGTTACCTGGATGATGATGATGTGTGTGTGTGTGGTTACCTGGATGATGATGATGATGTGTGTGTGTGTGTGTGTGTGTGTGTGTGTGCGTTACCTGGATGATGATGTGTGTGTGTGTGTGTGTGTGTTACCTGGATGATGCGTGTGTGTGTGTGTGTTACCTGGATGATGATGTGTGGTGTGTGTGTGTGTGTGTGTTACCTGGATGATGATGTGTGTGTGTGGTGTTACCCTGGATGATGATGTGTGTGTGTGTGTGTGTGTTACCTGGATGATGTGTGTGTGTGTGTTACCTGGATGATGTGTGTGTGTGTGTGTGTGTTACCTGGATGATGTGTGTGTGTGTGTTACCTGGATGATGTGTGTGTGTGTGTGTGTGTGTGTGTGTTTACCTGATGATGATGATGTGTGTGTGTGTGTGTGTGTGTTACCTGGATGATGATGTGTGTGTGTGTGTGTGTGTGTTACCTGGATGATGATGTGTGTGTGTGTGTGTGTGTGTGTGTGTGTTACCTGGAATGATGTGTGTGTGTGTGGTGTGTGTGTGTGTGTGTGGTGTGTTACCTGGATGATGTGTGTGTGTGTGGTGTATGTGTGTTACCTGGATGATGATGTGTGTGTGTGTGTGTGTGTGTGTGTGTGTTACCTGGATGATGACGTGTGGTGTGTGTGTGTGTGTGGGTGTTACCTGGATGATGACGTGTGTGTGTGTGTTGTGTGTGTGTGTGTGTTGTGTGTGTGTGTGTGTATGTGTGTGTGTTACCTGGATGATGACGTGTGTGTGTGTGTGTTACCTGGATGATGATGATGTGTGTGTGTGTGTTACCTGGATGATGATGATGATGTGTGTGTGTGTGTGTGTGTGTGTGTGCGTTACCTGGATGATGATGTGTGTGTGTGTGTGTGTGTGTGTGTGTGTGTGTGTGTTACCTGGATGATGCGTGTGTGTGTGTGTGTTACCTGGATGATGATGATGTGTGTGTGTGTGTGTGGTGTGTGTGTGTGCGTTACCTGGAGATGATGTGTGTGTGTGTGTGTGTGTGTGTGTGTGTGTGTGTGTGTGTGTGTGTGTGTTACCTGGATGATGCGTGTGTGTGTGTGTGTTACCTGGATGATGATGATGTGTGTGTGTGTGTTACCTGGATGATGATGTGTGTGTGTGTGTGTGTGTGTTACCTGGATGATGGTGTGTGTGTGTGTGTGTGTGTGTGTGTTACCTGGATGATGATGTGTGTGTGTGTGTGTGTGTGTGTGTGTGTGTGTGTGTGTGTGTGTGTGTATTACCTGGATGATGATGTGTGTGTGTGTGTGTGTTACCTGGATGATGTATGTGTGTGTGTGTGTTACCTGGATGATGCGTGTGTGTGTGTGTGTGTTACCTGGATCATGATGTGTGTGTGTGTGTGTTACCTGGATGATGATGTGTGTGTGTGTGTGTGTGTGTTACCTGGATGATGATGTGTGTGTGTATGTGTGTGTGTGTTATCTGGATGATGTGTGTGTGTGTGTGTGTGTGTTACCTGGATGATGTGTGTGTGTGTGTGTGTGTGTGTGTTACCTGGATGATGTGTGTGTGTGTGTGTGTGTGTGTTACCTGGATGATGTGTGTGTGTGTGTTACCTGGATGATGTGTGTGTGTGTGTGTGGTGTGTGTGTGTGTGTTACCTGGATGATGTGTGTGTGTGTGTTACCTGGATGATGATGATGTGTGTGTGTGTGTAACCTAGATGATGATGATGTGTGTGTGTGTGTAACCTAGATGATGATGATGTGTGTGTGTGTGTGTGTTACCTGGATGATGATGATGATGATGTGTGTGTGTGTTACCTGGATGATGATGTGTGTGTGTATGTGTGTGTGTATTACCTGGATGATGATGTGTGTGTGTGTGTGTGTGTGTGTATTACCTGGATGATGATGTGTGTGTGTGTGTGTGTTACCTGGATGATGATGATGTGTGTGTGTGTGTGTGTGTGTGTGTGCGTTACCTGGATGATGATGTGTGTGTGTGTGTGTTACCTGGATGATGCGTGTGTGTGTGTGTGTTACCTGGATGATGATGTGTGTGTGTGCGTTACCTGGATGATGATGTGTGTGTGTGTGTGTGTGTGTGTGTGTTACCTGGATGATGATGTGTGTGTGTGTGTGTGTGTGTGTGTTACCTGGATGATGATGTGTGTGTGTGTTACCTGGATGATGATGTGTGTGTGTGTGTGTGTGTGTGTATTACCTGGATGATGATGTGTGTGTGTGTGTGTGTGTGTGTGTGCGTTACCTGGATGATGATGTGTGTGTGTGTGTGTGTTACCTGGATGATGCGTGTGTGTGTGTGTGTGTTACCTGGATGATGATGTGTGTGTGTGTGTTACCTGGATGATGATGTGTGTGTGTGTGTGTGTTACCTGGATGATGATGTGTGTGTGTGTGTGTTACCTGGATGATGCGTGTGTGTGTGTGTGTTACCTGGATGATGTGTGTGTTACCTGGATGACGTGTGTGTGTGTGTGTGTGTTACCTGGATGATGTGTGTGTGTGTGTGTGTGTTACCTGAATGATGCGTGTGTGTTACCTGGATGATGCGTGTGTGTGTGTGTGTGTGTGTGTGTGTGTGTGTTACCTGGATGATGCGTGTGTTACCTGGATGACGTGTGTGTGTGTGTGTGTGTGTTACCTGGGGAATGTGTGTGTGTGTGTGTGTGTGTATTACCTGGATGATGTGTGTGTTTGTGTGTGTTACCTGGATGATGTGTGTGTGTATTACCTGGATGATGTGTGTGTGTGTGTATTACCTGGATGATGTGTGTGTGTGTGTGTGTTACCTGGATGATGCGTGTGTGTGTGTGTGTTACCTGGATGATGCGTGTGTGTTACCTGGATGATGTGTGTGAAGCGGGGGTCTTTGCGCTGCTTGTTCTTGATGAGCTCCAGAGCCTGAGACTGCTGGCTGCACAGGTGGGACGCCTGCTCCTGAAACTCCTCCCCCGCCACGCCCTCAAACTAACACCCAGGTACACACAGATATCCCATTCAAAACACACCACTAGACAGTATACACTGAGTGTACAAAACATTATGCTCTTTCCAGGACATAGACTGGCCAGGTGAATCCAGGTGAAAGCTATGATCCCTTATTGATGTCACTTGTTAAATCCACTTCAATCAGTGTAGATGAAGGGGAGGAGACAGGTTAAAGAAGGATTTTTAAGCCTTGAGACAATTGAGACATGAATTGTGTATATGTGCCATTCAGAGGGTGAATGGGCAAGACAAAAGATTGAAGTGCCTTTGAACGGGGTATGGAAGTAGGTGCCAGGTGCACCGGTTTGTGTCAAGAACAGCAACACTGCTGGGTTTTTCACTCTCAACAGTTTCCCGTGTGTATCAAGAATGGTCCACCACCCAAAGGATATCTAGCCAACTTGACACAACTGTAGGAAGTATTGGAGTCAACATGGGCCAGCATCCCTGTGGAACGCTTTCAACACCTTGTAGAGTCCATGCACTGATGAATTGAGGCTATTCTGAGGGCAAAAGTGGGTGCAACTCAATATTAGGAAGGTGTTCCTAATGTTTTGTACACTCAGGTGTATACCCCTATAAGCATATGATTGAAAACAATTGGACAGGTATTATCAATAGCTAAGCCCTCAAACTGACAGCTAACAATGTAACCCTCCAGCCCACTGATGAACATGCTAACACTGCTAAATATGTGACCAATAACATTTGATTTGATGGGATAGTAAAACAAAGACTGAGGGAGAGATGGAGAGATGGAGGGATGGAGGGATGGAGGGATGGAGGGATGGAGAGATGGAGGGATGGAGAGATGGAGGGATGGAGGGATGGAGAGATGGAGGGATGGAGGGATGGAGGGATGGAGGGATGGAGAGATGGAGGGATGGAGAGATGGAGGGATGGAGGGGTGGAGGGATGGAGGGATGGAGGGATGGAGGGATGGAGAGATGGAGGGATGGAGAGATGGAGGGATGGAGAGATGGGGGATGGAGATGGAGGGATGGAGGGATGGAGATGGAGGGATGGAGAGATGGAGGGATGGAGGGATGGAGGGATGGAGGGATGGAGAGATGGAGGGATGGAGAGATGGAGGGATGGAGGGATGGAGGGATGGAGAGATGGAGAGATGGAGGGATGGAGAGATGGAGGGATGGAGAGATGGAGGGATGGAGAGATGGAGAGATGGAGGGATGGAGAGATGGAGGGATGGAGGGATGGAGAGATGGAGGGATGGAGAGATGGAGGGATGGAGGGATGGAGAGATGGAGGGATGGAGAGATGTCATTTTTTACATTTGAGTCATTTAGCAGACGCTCTTATCCAGAGCGACTTACAGTTAGTGAGTTCATACATTTTCATACTTTTTTCGTACTGGTGGCCTGCGGGAATAGAACCCACAACCCTGGTGTTGCAAGCGCCATGCTCCACCTGCTGAGTCACACGGGACCGGGATGACGTGATTAGTTAGTTAAACTCACCCTGGCCAGCATGATGTCACCGATGCCCTGAACGATGGGAGATTCCCTTTTCTTCTTCATGGCTTCACACAGACTCTCTGCAACGCAATAACAACGTTGGAACAATAAAAACATTGAAGCAAGATTGATCAAACACAATAACAACATTGAGCTTAATGTCAATGAGACTGACAACCAATCAAAGGCAACGCTAAAACATTGCTTCTCTACCATGCAGCAACTAAATCAAATAAAACATATGATATTTACACAGCAATGCCACAAACAGAGAACCTCTTTAATGCAACACAATCTTATCAGATCTTAAAATCCACATTGCCTGAATACATAGACAGAACTGAGAAACACACAAGCACAGACACAGACACACACTGACCATGGAGTTCGTAGACCTGAGGCAGGTTGGGGAAAATGCAGGCCAGCTCGTCAGAGTTCAGAACACATCTCATCTTCCGGAAGAACACCTGATCCAACACCCTGAGAGTACGCAGGTGAGACGCCTCTGTCGTCAACAACTCTGAGAGAGGAGAGAGAGAGGGGGAGAGAGGATGGATGGAGGGAGATAGAGGGAGAGAGAAAGAGAGAGTAATGTAAATATAATAATCGAATGATATTTCCTTCTGAAAATAACAGAATAGAAGCTGTCAGTTACAGTCAGATAGCCACTGTCTATGTTTAGAGAGGATATAGGCCCAGCTCTAGATGTAGAACGTTTTCCCGTGTTCCTCTAGGCCTGAATGTATCCTTGCACATTCCTCTGCTCCTACCCAAAGATCAATCAGTGGTTATTTACCGTAGATGACGGCCTGTCGGTCCACCTCTCGGGGACAGAGAGTGGCCAGGACCTGCGGGGCCACCGTCTCCTGCCAGTTGTGACTGTCTACCACGTCCTCCTCTAGGGCTGGGGCATCAGGGAGCAGGGCCACAGGGGACTCCTCAATCCTACACACACACACACAGATGCATACGCACACACACACACACACACACAGAGAGAGAAATATGTTTTAATATACTTACAGGTCCCTCATCAAAGATGAAGACCTCAGTAGGTTGTAGTGGTGACTTACTGTCGTCTAGACGACCGAGGGGTGTATGGAGGCGTGGGGTTCTCCAAGGATCTGAGGAGGAAAACCCAATCAGATCCGTTTCTATTCGGTTTTCTTTATTCTGTGCTACAATGCTGCTGCTCAACCCCCCTTCAGGAGTATGTGGATCATACAGTGTGTTCCGAAACCATGTCTGTGTGTAAGTTTCAGCTATGTGTGTATGAGCCAGACGTGTGTGTGTAGTCTCACCGTGCTGAGCTGCTGGTGGCTGAGGAGGAGGTGCTATGGTGTAGGGGTCTCAGGCCCGGCCCCTCCATCTCCTCCCCACAGTCCTCCATGTCCACGTCGCTACGGGAACGAGGGACTGTCTCCACTCCTGAGGCCCCGCCCCGCCGACGCCCCTCCCCCTGTGCCTTCAGAGACTCACTACGAGCCAGACGCACCGACACCATAGGGCTGAGAGAGAGAGCAAAAGAGAGAGAGAGGGGGGAGAGAAATAGAGAGTGAGAGAGAGAGAGAGAGAGAAAGGGGGAGAGAGATTAAGAGAGAGAGCGAGAGAGAGGGGGGGGAGAGAAATAGAGAGTGAGAGAAAGAGAGACAGCGAAAGGGGGAGAGAAATAGAGAGTGAGAGAGAGAGAGAGTTTAGAGAGAGAGAGAGCGAGAGAGAGATTAAGCGAGAGAGAGAGAGAGAGAGCGAGAGAGAGAGAGAGCGAGAGAGAGAGCGAGAGAGAGAGCGAGAGCGAGAGCGAGAGAGAAAGGGGGAGAGAAAGGGGGAGAGAAATAGAGAGACAAACACATAAGTAAACATGTACAATCTTAACAAACAAACAATTATGCTCAATAGGCCTGAGACACACTCTCTCTCTGATACCTGTCCATGCTGTCCTCTCCCAGGCTGCTGGAGGACAGTCTCTGGGGGTCTCCCTCGGCCCCCTCCTCCCCGGGGATCTCTGTGTGGTTCTCAAACTGCTGGATGATGTTCCTCACACTGCCAGGACGCACTGAGGACAGGAGACGAGACAGGAGACACACACAGAACATCAATCAATCAAACGTATTTTATAAAGCCTGTATTATAATCAGCAGTTATTACAGAGTGCTTTACTGATACCCAGCATAAAACCCCAAAGTGAAAGCAATAACAGCACATCATGTATGCAAGCATGACTGTAAGTCTCTTTGGATAAAAAAGTGTTTGCTAAATGGCATTTATTATTATATATTATCGTGTTTTAAAATAAGCTGAGAAAACACTTTGAAGAACAAAGGCGATATAATAAGATATTCAAAACAATAAATACAAATAAATGATATACCTTCAGTGGGAGACAAGGGAATGCTGGGAAATCAAAGTGAACCAAAAGAAACCATGAGACAAAAAAAGTATCAGTAAGGGTGAAAATGAAGGATAAGGTGACGGGAATTCAATCATACTGTTAGATGAAAACAGAATGTGTGTGTGTTTGTCTGTGAGTGTGTGTGACTTTCTCAGTGTGTGTGTGTGTGTGTGTAGTTACTGGACTGGGAGGTGCTCCTGGGCTTGCCGATATACTTCAGGATGGGGTTTCTCTTCCTGTCCTCTCCATCCTTCTCTTTCTTTGCACTGCTCAGCTGTAGTAGACAACAGTAAAGCTCTGTGATGTGAACCAATCATTTCAAGCACAACCTGGACATTGAGAACTTTAATAAACGTAGTATTCAGTAGTACACAGTGCCTAATGAGTATGACCCAGAACACAGTATTCGACCTAGGACTCCAACTCCTACCTTCTTGGTCTTGGGGAAGAAGGCGAGCCACTTCTCCTTCTCAGAGCTGAGTCCTGGAAACACCCTGGAGTCCCTCAGCTTAATGCCTGAGTGACGGAGGTGCAGCAGTACCGCAGAGGCTAGAGGAGAACTGAGGACGGGGAGGGAGAGGCAGTGAGAGGGCGAGAAGGGGGAGAGCGAGCGAGTGAGAAAAAGGTAACAGGGGAAAGATAAAGAAAGGGGGGAAAGAGGGAGACAGAAAGAAAGGGAGAAATAACAGAAGTGAGAAGGGTATGTTTACACAAACAAACAAGCGTTATTATTCAATCATGTTCCAGCAACACAGACATGAGACGCTCCGATTTTTATTACCTTCTGTCGTCTTCGTGCTTCGAGCTGCAACACAGAAAAACAACTGTTCGCTTATTCACTTTCACTCTCACTCTTCTGCACAAAAACAACAACCTCTCTTTTAATAAGGTCTCTGGCTTATTTCCAAAGTGTCTCGGTCCTGTTGAACAAGGTGCAAAAAAAATAGGCTGATAAAAATCAAGGTGACCTGTTTTGTGTCTACCTAGTAGTGAGTCATGTGATAGGAGTGGGTAGGTGTGTGTAAAAACGTAATGTGGCTAGGACGGCCGCAGCTACCTGCAGAGCCTCCCAGTGATCAGCGATCACAATCTGACCTTTGGTACGGTGAGAGGTTGAGGATCAGCGATCACAATCTGACCTTTGGTACGGTGAGAGGTTGAGGCTAGTTGAGATCCCTCTGCTGTCAGCTGGCCCGGTCACTGTCACATGCTGCAATACTGTTTTATTGGCCATCTATCTATCTAGGACTAGCGTGTCCTACCGTAGTTACTGTTTTGCTAATATTGAACCATCACAGCAAAGTACAAAAGTAACAATGTGTGTTATTTGTTGCCATCTTAGTAGTCATTTTTACTCTCCCTTGGAATGCATTGCATATATAGGTGCCCAGCGTTTTTCCTGGTAAGGTCACATGGGATAAACATTATGTATCATAGCTAGATATTCCAACTTACAGTATCTCCCAGAGAGCAGTGACCTGTTTTTCCTTGGCTGGGTCTCCATCCAGCTGCTGCAGGTCTCCCTCTCCAAACAGAGAGCCCAGACCCATCATCTGCTTGTTCCTACACACAAACACGTCATAGTACACAAGGTCATTGGTCACACAACCTTCAATACACACAAAGTAGAGCTGGGACGATACACTGAAAATGATAGAAACCGACCACTCAATGCAGGCATTTTTGCTGATATGGTTCCGAGCTGACAAGGTAAAAATCTGTCGTTCTGCCCCTGAGCAAGGAAGTTAACCCACTGTTCTCCGGGCGCCGATGACATGGATGTTGATTAAGGCAGCCTCCCACACCTCTCTGATTCAGAGGGGTTGGGTTAAATGCGGAAGACACATTTCAGTTGAATGCATTCAGTTGTGTAACTGACTAGATATCCCCTTTCCTTTTCATTACGAGAAGTAGCCTATAATAGAGAAATGTGAAGTTTGAAATGAAAAAATATTGCTAATATGGGTGATTGTTAATGGGACAATTGATTGCTACAACCATTAAACTAGTACTAGTTCTTTAAGGGATCATTTTAAAAACCTGTGGTGCACATTAATGATGTAAACCTATCGTTCTATTTATCATTATCGCATCAATTCAAGCAATTTATCACAATCTGGATTTTTGGCCATATCGCCCAGCTCTAACAAACACAATAACACACACACGGCCATTATCTGCATTTAACACAAGCCTCAATGCACACAACAATGGTTTCATATACACACACACACACTGTCAAACACAGACACACCTCCAGATGATTCAGCTAGGCTTGTCCCATAGACTGTACTGTACCTGTAGTCCTGTATTGGGTCCTGAATGTCAGGCAGCACCTGCTGTTGGAGCTCAGACAGTGGTCCTCTGATGTCCTCCTGGGCATGAAGACGACTCTCTGAGACAGGACACAACACCAGACAGTAAGACTTACTACAGACTGAACTAGAATCACAACCCTGTACTGACAGAGTTGACTTACCGCTTTACACAACTACCATAACTGGTCATGCTCTGGAGTGGTTTGTGAACTACCAATCAAATCGAACCCAGTGTGTTAAGGCAGATGGTTGTAAGGCTTACACCATAGAGCTGCACTCAGGTGTGCCTCAAGGATCCATTTTAGGTCCCCTGTGGTTTATTATCTAGATCAACAACATTGGGAAACATATTGAGACAACTGATGTACATTTTTATGCAGATGATACTGTTCTGTATTCAAGTGGCAGCAGTTTGGCTTTTGACAAAGCTCAAACAGCTTTAAAACACCATTCCAGATAATCTGTACGATTTTGAAGCTTGTTCTGAATTCCTCTTAAACAAAATGCATGGTATTTTCCAATGCTAAACACTCTGAAAACCATGTAATTACTACCTTGGAAGGACATTCTACAGAGCATGTCAAAACGTAATATCTGGGAGTTTGGGTGGATGAGAAGTTGAGCTTCACCAGCCATGTAGAGAACTTTGTCAGGAAACTCAAGCTGCATATTGGGTTTTATTACCGGCACAAAGCTTGTTTTTCCTTTGCCACCAGAAAACAGTTGATTAGTTGTGCTTTTCTCTCTGTGTTGGACTATGGTGATACTGTTTCTGTGCGAACTTCAAGCTCTACACTGAAGGCTCTTGACTCTGTGTATCATTCTGCCTTAGTTTGGTCACAAATCTCTACAGTGTTCAGACTAGCAACACGCAGGCTCAAACACTGCCCATTTTTGGAAAACTCTCTTCTAGCTCGAAATTAAAACACATACAAGCTCAGATCTCAATTTTGTTTTATGCTAACAGTCCTGAAAATTTGAACCAAGCATGGAAAAAGGTCATTTCATTCCTCAGACCCCTGGTCTTGGAATTCCCTCCAAGCCAACCTATCACTCCAGGACCTGGTGTCCCTGGAGGAAGTTAAAGGGCAAATAGATGAACAGGTTGAGACATGTATTTGTTTCTAGTTGCCACCCGATGTCACTAGTTTGCTTTGCCTTCTGTAAGGAAGCATGTTGTTTTACTTCACACCACACACGCCTGCACGCACACACTGTTTGTTTGCTGTTCCCAGTGTCTTCTGTCTGAGTTGTCCATTTTGTCTTATATTGTTTAGGTTTTTATCGTAAACCCTGTCCCCACAGGAGGACTTTTGCATCTTGCCAGGCCTTCATTGTAAATAAGAATTTGTTCTTAATTGACTTGCCTGGTTAAATCTAAATAAAACCATCACAGTAACGTTAGTATGTTGAGTTGCAGCTTACCTATATCAGTCAGGTACTCTGATTTTTAACGGCTGAAAATTAAATCAAACATTTAAGGAACCGTTAATACAACCGTTAATACAAGAGTACAAAAATGTTTCACGATTATTAAATGGTCCGGTCTTATTAAGACTAATTCACTGAATTAATTAACTGAATAAACGCAGGAGAGACGCACAGCGTCAGGGTCCAGGAAGTAGGAGCAGATCTGAGGGGCGAGGGCACGGGCGTCTTTAGGGCTGGAGCCCAGGTAGGCCTCCAACGACAGGTAGAACAGCTGTTGTAGAGAGACAAGCACAGACATACACACAGACAGACACACCAGATTAGTTCCCATGTAAGAGGTCGAACTACAGTAAATAGCAGTCCTCAGGATCAGAGCACTGACCAGTGGGTTGGGATCCAGTAGCTGGCTGAAGATATATCTCATGAACACCGTCATGTGGGCTGGTCGCGACTTGAGAAGCTCTATGTCCTGAAATGGACCGTCCATCTGAAGGAGGGAAAGAGAGAGGAAGGGGAAAGAGAGAGAGAGAGAGAGATTCATACCTATGTGAGATGCAGGGTACGTAGATGAGGTAAGTGATGTTTGCTGATAAAGACTGTCTCACCTCATTGAGTGTATAGCCGTCTTCCTCTTCTTCCTCTTCCTCAGGGCCAATGATCTGAGTCTTCCCAGCCTGCCAAGAGACATGTCAGAGGTCAGGATGAGGAAAATGGAACCTTTGGCATGTGTGTTTTTGTGTAGGAGAGACATTGTTCACATCACTGAGTCAGAGTAGAGGGTATATGCAGTGCGCATGTGCAAATCTTCTCACTGAATCAGAATGTGTGTGAGTTTGTGAGTGAGTGGAAGAGTGTGTGTGTTGGTCTCACCGAGTCGGAGAAGGTGTGTGTGTCGGAGCCCTGTCTCCGGTGTAGGGGGGTCCTGAAGAAGAAGGGGTGAGAAGGACCATCTTTCCCAGTTTAGCATTTTCCCCACCAATGGTTAAGGTTAAGATTGGGGGAGGGGAAGCTGATCCTAGATCAGTACATAGGGGAAACTTCACCCCAGAGCAGTGTTAGGAGGCTGCTGTCATGCATTTTTTATATATATATATATTTTATTTTAATTTTTTTGTCATTTAGCAGACGCTCTTATCCAGAGCGACTTACAGGAGCAATTAGGGTTAAGTGCCTTGCTTAAGGGCACATCGATAGATGTTTCACCTAGTCGGCTCGGGGATTAGAACCAGCAACCATTCGGTTACTGGCACAACGCTCTTACCCACTAAGCTACCTGCCGCCCGTAGTTTGCACACAGGCATCTCACCAGATCTTGCTGGATTTTAACCCGCACTTGTTGCGCCTGCCTCTTGGCACTTTCGATTCGCTCCTCCAGTGATGGGGAGGGATTACATGACAGCTCCTCCATCAAGTCCTGCGAGATTTGTCAGAGTGACATTATCAGAGGCACTGATAATGGTCAATGATGATTGGTCAAACTAAATAGATACTCTCATAAGCAGTGTATCCTTACCATTGCATATTCAGTGGGCCACAATGTTACAGCTAGAAATGCAACATATAGAACAGATATGTCTATATTCCAGATAACCGAACAGTGTCCATTCTAAGTGGGTTTGATTGTTTGGGGTTGCAACATTTACCCAAATTCCCAGAAATCTTGGTTGGAGAATTGCGGATTTCCTGCTTATTCTCTACTGATTCTGGGAATCGTTTAACAGAGATTTGAAACACTGTGACTGTTGATTTTATTTTTTGGAATTTTCAGTTCCTTGTTTATATTGTCATCATCAGCAAGGCCCCGCCCCAAAGGGACTTTCCAAGGGCGGGAAAAACCAAACCCTATGGAAGCGAGCGCACCCCTGAAAACGAGCGCACCCAAATGACTGTTACCTGGAGCTCAGCCTCTCCCTGTTCCAACGTGTTCCTGTACATCTAGGTTCTAACACAATGACAGAAGAGGAGAGGGTAAAGAAACGTGTTCCTCCTCCTTATTGTTGACCCATGTTATACCACATTGGTTTGAACATCTGGTCAGTAATATGGTCAAGCTGGTATACCAGGCAATGGTCCAGGACCAGTATTTATAAAGTGTCTCAGAGTCAGAGTACCGATCTAAGATCAAGTCCCCCTTGTCCATATAATCGTATTCCTTATGATCCAGAAGGTAAAACCGATCCTAGATCAGTACTCACAGTCTGAGACACTTTATGAATACAGACCGAGGTGTGGCGTTCACCTGTAGCGGTTTGTTGAGTCTTTGGGAGGGGGTGCTGGTAAGTCCGGGGGGGAGGTGGTGGAGGCGGGGCTTCACCTCCCAGTGACATCCTCTGATTGGGTAAGAGGTCAGCGGGGAGGGGCTGTAGGAGGGGGACGGCTGCTGAAGGGGGCGGTCCTTGAAGTGTCAGAGCAACATACGTCCCAGCTGGAAGGAGAGAGAGAGCGAGAGAGAGAGACAAGATTTAATAAACAGCTGTTGGCAACGACATTTTACTGACAGCATAGACCTAAAGTCATCATAACCTTAACCATCATCATCGTTATAGAAACCAGTGACACTCACACTTGATGAGCTTCACCACCTCCTGGTGAGACATGGACGACACCAGTGAGCCGTTCACCTGAGAGAAAGAGAGAGAGAAGGAGAGAGATGAGAGAGAGATGAGAGAGATGAGAGAGAGAAGGAGAGAGAAGGAGAGAGAGGAGAGACGAAGAGAAGGAGAGACGAGAAGAGAGAGAGAGAGAGAAGGAGGAGAGGAGGAGAGAGAGAGAGGAGAGAGAGAGGAGAGAGGGAGAGAGAGAGAGAGAGAGAGAGAGAGGAAGAGAGAGAGAGAGAGAGGAAGAGAGAGAATGAGAGGAGAGAGAAGAGCGAGATGAGAGAGAGATGATGGAGAAGGAGAGAGGAGAAGAGGAGGAGAAGGAAGCCGAGAGATGAGAGAGCGAGGGCGAGAGAAGGAGATAGATGAGAGGGGGAGAGGAGGGAGAGCTGGAAGAGAGAATGACGAGAGAAAGAGAGCGAAGAGAGAAGGAGAGAGATGAGAGAGAGAAGGAGAGAGATGAGAGAGAGAGAAGGAGAGAGATGAGAGAGAGAGAAGGAGAGAGATGAGAGAGAGAAGGAGAGAGATGAGAGAGAGATGGAGAGAGAGAAGGAGAGAGATGAGAGAGAGAAGGAGAGAGATGAGAGAGAGCGTAAGAAAGAGAGAAGAGTCTTGAGTATCTGACCGGTTTTTTAGTTGAAGGTTTGAAATGAGGAGTAACCTTTATGATCCTGTCTCCCTCGTGGACCCCTGCCTTGACCGCTGCACCACCTGCATGAAGAGACAGGTGAGAAACATTCCAGAATCATCATAGAAGTCGTGTAGAAATGGAGTCAGTTACAGTGTGGGTGTGTGTCTGACCTGGTCGGACATTCTGCACCAGCTTGATCCTCTCGCACACACAGTGAAGTCAAACCCCAGCTGGTCTTTCTGTACCACCACACATCTCTGAACCAGACTTGGACCTGAGAGAGGGAGAAGGGGAGAGAGAGGGAAAGTGAGGAAGAGGGGGAGCAAGAGGAAGAGGGGGAGCGAGAGGAAGAGGGGAGAGAGAGGAAGAGGGGTGGTAGAAGGGGAGATGAGAGAGGGAGATGGAGAGAGACAAAGAGAGGGGAGTTGAGAAGAGAGATAACGAGGGAAAGAAATAGAGATGAAGAGGGAGAGATAGAGAGATAGATTAAGAGAATAAAGACCATGCAAGTCACTGGCCATACCATGAACCAGTACTAAACTGCTATATGCCACATCTGTGCTACAAACCTAGCCTCGTAATTACCAGACGGATGCAGGGAACATTCATGTAAGCTTGTGAGATCGGGCGGCCTGCGAGGCTACTACAAACCCCATGTACCTGTGTTCTCATGGGGGATGTCAGCTAGAGGCTCCCTCTGCTGACCGCTGGAGGTCTTGCGTTCCGAGTCTCCTATCGTCAGGCTGCTTAGCCTGGAAGGAAAGGCAGGACAAGAGGAACGTGAGACAGAGTAGGGTGAAGTTGCCCCTAGACGCTGATCTTGGGTCAGTTTAGCATTCTCCCCACCAATGGTTAAGGTTAAGATTGGGGGAGGAGAAGCTGATCCTAGATCAGTACTTAGGATAAACTTCTCCCCAGAGCATGTGAGACACAAATAGGCTACTCTGGAAAGATTATTCAAATCAGGATCACTGGGAGGGCTGGGGTGAAGGAGAGGGATGTCTGGCAGGAGGTAGGAGAGGGATGGCTGGCAGGAGGTAGGAGAGGGATGTCTGGCAGGAGGTAGGAGAGGGATGTCTGGCAGGAGGTTGGAGAGGGATGTCTGGCAGGAGAGGGATGTCTGGCAGGAGGTAGGAGAAGGAGAGGGATGTCTGGCAGGAGGTAGGAGAAGGAGAGGGATGTCTGGCAGGAGGTAGGAGAAGGAGAGGGATGTCTGGCAGGAGGTAAGAGAAGGAGAGGGATGTCTGGCAGGAGGTAGGAGAAGGAGGGCGTGAGGAAAGAAGGAGAGAGAAAGGAGGAATAGACAAGATGAGTAGACATTTATAAGTTATATTCTTCAATATTCAATGGGTATACAGTGAGGGAAAAAAGTAACAAACAAACAGAAACAAAGGGTTAACCCTAATATAGGTCCTAGACTCTACTTTCTAGAGGTTAACCAAACCCCATCGTCAAAATATTATACACACTAAAAGCTTCTATAATGTAGGATGTGGTCACACGCAAGTGAAAGTGAATTTACAGTGTGTGTGAGAGTGTGTGTGTGTGTGTGTCCTGGTTGAGAAGGAGGCAAGGAGATATGATCCAGGGAAAGATGTCCCTGCCCTATACCACTCCTCTTTACACTCTCCTCATCCTACAGTGAGGGAAAAAAGTATTTGATCCCCTGCTGATTTTGTACATTTGCCCACTGACAAAGAAATGATCAGTCTATAATTTTAATGGTAGGTTTATTTGAACAGTGAGAGACAGAATAACAACAAGAAAATCCAGAAAAACATGTCAAAAATGGTATAAATTGATTCGCATTTTAATGAGGGAAATAAGTATTTGACCCCTCTGTAAAACATGACTTAGTACTTGGCAATCACAGAGGTCAGATGTTTCTTGTAGTTGGCCACCAGGTTTGCACACATCTCAGGAGGGATTTTGTCCCACTCCTCTTTGCAGATCTTCTCCAAGTCATTAAAGTTTCGAGGCTGATGTTTGGCAACTCGAACCTTCAGCTCCCTCCACAGATTTTCTATGGGATTAAGGTCTGGAGACTGGCTAGGCCACTCCAGGACCTTAATGTGCTTCTTCTTGAGCCACTCCTTTGTTGCCTTGGCCGTGTGTTTTGGGTCATTGTCATGCTGGAATACCCATCCACGACCCATTTTCAATGCCCTGGATGAGGGAAGGAGGTTCTCACCCAAGATTTGACGGTACATGGCCCCGTCCATCGTACCTTTGATGCGGTGAAGTTGTCCTGTCCCCTTAGCAGAAAAACACCCCCAAAGCATAATGTTTCCACCTCCATGTTTGACGGTGGGGATGGTGTTCTTGGGGTCATAGGCAGCATTCCTCCTCCTCCAAACACGGCGAGTTGAGTTGATGCCAAAGAGCTCAATTTTGGTCACATCTGACCACAACACTTTCACCCAGTTCTCCTCTGAATCATTCAGATGTTCATTGGCAAACTTTAGACGGCCCTGTATATGTGCTTTCTTGAGCAGGGGGTCCTTGCGGGCGCTGCAGGATTTCAGTCCTTCGCGGCGTAGTGTGTTACCAATTGTTTTCTTGGTGACTATGGTCCCAGCTGCCTTGAGATCATTGACAAGATCCTCCCGTGTAGTTCTGGGCTGATTCCTCACCGTTCTCATGATCATTGCAACTCCACGAGGTGAGATCTTGCATGGAGCCCCAGGCCGAGGGAGATTGACAGTTATTTTGTGTTTCTTCCATTTGCGAATAATCGCACCAACTGTTGTCACCTTCTCACCAAGCTGCTTGGCGATGGTCTTGTAGCCCATTCCAGCCTTGTGTAGGTCTACAATCTTGTCCCTGACATCCTTGGAGAGCTCTTTGGTCTTGGCCATGGTGGAGAGTTTGGAATCTGATTGATTGATTGCTTCTGTGGACAGTTGTCTTTTATACAGGTAACAAGAAGAGATTAGGAGCACTCCCTTTAAGAGTGTGCTCCTAATCTCAGCTCGTTACCTGTATAAAAGACACATGGGAGCCAGAAATCTTTCTCATTGTGAAGGGGTCAAATACTTATTTCCCTCATTAAAATGCAAATCAATTTATAAAATTTTTGACATGCGTTTTTCTGGATTTTTTTGTTGTTATTCTGTCTCTCACTGTTCAAATAAACCTACCATTAAAATTATAGACTGATCATTTCTTTGTCAGTGGGCAAACGTACAAAATCAGCAGGGGATCAAATACTTTTTTCCCTCACTGTATGAGGAGGAGAGTGTAAAGAGGAGTGGTATAGGGCAGGGACATCTTTCCCTGGATCATATCTCCTTGCCTCCTTCTCAACCATATTGGAGAAAGTCCAAGACCTTCTCCACTCAGACCTTCTTCTCCAATACATTTTGTGAAGAAGGCAAGAGGATGTGAGGATTGAGAACAAAGAGCTGTAGGTAGGTGGGGGGGTGAAAGGAGAAGAGTGGACACCAGGGGGTAGATAGATAGCTTTGAGGAGAGATCATGTGAGGGGAGACTGCTGGAGGTAAAGTGCAGTACTGTAATATGTGCTTAGTTTCTTCCAGCTCAACAAACTGAGCAGAAAACTCACCAAGCAGCAAAAGGGCTGAAAGCGAAGCGTCAGAAAAATAAGGAATAACAGAGAATAGACAGAAAGGGACCAAGAGAAAAGGAAAGAACATCTGTTTAGAATACAATAGAAGAGTAAAAATGGAGAAACACTGACAGACAAGGAGATAGGGCTGGGCGATGCGGACTAAAAATCATCTCTATTTTTTCAAACCTTTTTCAAATTCACGAGATATATATATACACTGCTCAAAAAAATAAAGGGAACACTAAAATAACACATCCTAGATCTGAATGAATGAAATAATCTTATTAAATACTTTTTTCTTTACATAGTTGAATGTGCTGACAACAAAATCACACAAAAATTATCAATGGAAATCAAATGTATCAACCCATGGAGATCTGGATTTGGAGTCACCCTCACAATTAAAGTGGAAAACCACACTACAGGCTGATCCAACTTTGATGTAATGTCCTTAAAACAAGTTAAAATTAGGCTCAGTAGTGTGTGTGGCCTCCACGTGCCTGTATGACCTCCCTACAACGCCTGGGCATGCTCCTGATGAGGTGGCGGATGGTCTCCTGAGGGATCTCCTCCCAGACCTGGACTAAAGCATGATGTCCCAGATGTGCTCAATTGGATTCAGGTCTGGGGAACGAGCGGGCCAGTCCATAGCATCAATGCCTTCCTCTTGCAGGAACTGCTGACACATTCCAGCCACATGAGGTCTAGCATTGTCTTGCATTAGGAGGAACCCAGGGCCAACCGCACCAGCATATGGTCTCACAAGGGGTCTGAGGATCTCATCTCGGTACCTAATGGCAGTCAGGCTACCTCTGGCGAGCACATGGAGGGCTGTGCGGCCCCCCAAAGAAATGCCACCCCACACCATGACTGACCCACCGCCAAACCGGTCATGCTGGAGGATGTTGCAGGCAGCAGAACGTTCTCCACGGCGTCTCCAGACTCTGTAACGTCTGTCACATGTGCTCAGTGTGAACCTGCTTTCATCTGTGAAGAGCACAGGGTGCCAGTGGCGAATTAGCCAATCTTGGTGTTCTCTGGCAAATGCCAAACGTCCTGCATGGTGTTGGGCTGTAAGCACAACCCCCACCTGTGGACGTCGGGCCCTCATACCACCCTCATGGAGTCTGTTTCTGACCGTTTGAGCAGACACATGCACATTTGTGGCCTGTTGGAGGTCATTTTGCAGGGCTCTGGCAGTGCTCCTCCTGCTCCTCCTTGCACAAAGGCGGAGGTAGCAGTCCTGCTGCTGGGTTGTTGCCCTCCTACGGCCTCCTCCACGTCTCCTGATGGACTGGCCTGTCTCCTGGTAGCGCCTCCATGCTCTGGACACTACGCTGACAGATACAGCAAACCTTCTTGCCACAGCTCGCATTGATGTGCCATCCTGGATGAGCTGCACTACCTGAGCTACTTGTGTGGGTTGTAGACTCCGTCTCATGCTACCACTAGAGTGAAATCACCGCCAGCATTCAAAAGTGACCAAAACATCAGCCAGGAAGCATAGGAACTGAGAAGTGGTCTGTGGTCACCACCTGCAAAACCAGTCCTTTATTGGGGGTGTCTTGCTAATTGCCTATAATTTCCACCTGTTGTCTATTCCATTTGCACAACAGCATGTGCAATTTATTTTCAATCAGTGTTGCTTCCTAAGTGGACAGTTTGATTTCACAGAAGTGTGATTGACTTGGAGTTACATTGTGTTGTTTAAGTGTTCCCTTTATTTTTTAGAGCAGTATATATATATATATATATATATATATATATATATATATATATATATATATATGAGAGAGAGAGAGTTTTAAAAAATGTTCTCTAAATAAGAGTTGTTGTACAATTAAGGGTAAAATACACTGCATTTCAAACAGTCAAAAATAATCTAGTGAATTCAGGGCTCATATGACCGATTCTGTTGGACCAAACCTCAAATGCAAATAGTGGAAGATGTGATCTCTCAACTTTGTTGGCGTGAGGCAGGGGGAGGGGCTTGGTGTGTGTGTGTAAACCATAGAGGAAGAGGCAAAGCTAGAGGTTTCACTCTCGCTAAAATCTGTCCAAAATAAGCCCAATGCGTTTCTATGGGCTTATTTAGGACCTAAACTTGCCACCTGCCTTCCCGACTTTGGGACAACGACTCCCATTGTTAGGGCGGAGACGTGCATCTTGTCATTATATACAGATCTCTGGTGTAAATGGGAAGGTGCACACAGCACAGAGGAGTGAAGGAGACGAGACCAAAAATACAACATGAGAACAAGCGGACATAGAAAGGAGGCCTGGGTAGGTACGCCCAAAACCTAGTCCTGCTGTAGCAGCGTTCCAATCTGCAGATCTACAGAACCAACAAGGGCTCTTATTGGATGCCCAGCCTACATGGGCAGGTAAGAGTGTTTCTTAATGGATGCCCCACTGTCACGACAAAGACGGCAAAAGTGAGACGGGGGAAGAGGGAGAAAGAGAGAAACACATGAACAAGACACAGACAGGCATGCTCACAGACATGTACAAAAGAATGGGCAGTGAGCCATAAAGGACTTCACATCAAAGGTGATACAGCTACCTCCCAGCTGAGAATACCCCTGCACAGAAGGCTAAGCTGAGGGGATCACAATTTAACACAACATCCAACAGAGATGCACAAGCTTACAACTAGGCCTTACATTTGTAATGGTAGAAACAATAGGCTAATTAAGCAATAAGGCACGAGGGGGTGTGTGTGGTATACCACGGCTAAGGGCTGTTCTTAAGCACGACGAACGCAGAGTGCCTGGATACAGCCCTTAGCCGTGGTATATAGGCCATATACCCCAAAACATGCCTCTTTGCTATTATAAACTGGTTACCAACGTAATTAGAACAATAAAAAGTAATTTGTCATACCCAATCAGCATTCAGGGCTCAAACTACCCAGTTTATAATAGATCTTTGAACATAATCAGGGTTCTCCCAAGGATTTTTTAACACATTTATTTTCATTACAAAGTGGCACGGGCAGTCCAGAAGGTACTTCGGGGAGAGCCCTGATAATAGTCACTGGCTGCCTGCCTATCAACAGTCACTGCCTCCCTCCTTCTCAAAGCGCATTGCATTCCCCTCCCCTCTGATATACTCCTCCAATGCGTTTTGGGAAGGATACAAGGAGAGAGGACACAAGGAATCAAGGAAATATGATTGTCCCATCTGTCATTAGCACCACCATCACCAGCAGTCAGTCCTACCTGTCCAGTGTTGAGGTGGGGTGGCAGACACTCATGGCTGCAGACGGCTGGAGCGTGTCCTCTCCTGCAGTCCAATGATGTCACAGCAGGGTGACCATCTCCTTTGTTCTTCAAGTTTCTTTACACAGAGTTCCACAGTGCTGCCGCCTGCTACGTTTAAACTCCTCACGTCAGCTAGTGGGGAGCTTATTCCGTTCAGAGAGCGCTCTGAGCATATTCCTCATGTTTTCATAGACAATCTTCAAGTATCTTACAGTAGGCAGTTGAAACGGGGACCCCGGCGAATTTATTCAGTGTTAGAACTATCTAGTGCCACAGGAAAATATTAAAAATAGCTGGTGGGTGGGGGACACCTTTAAGGTGGGTGCCACCTTTAAGCAAGATGCATGAGATTCAGGCACCACTGACTGTGCAATATCTAGTGTTCCTTCAGAGTCTTAAGACAAAGTGTCATTACATAGCAATACCAGCAACATGAAAATAAATACAAAAATAAAGATTATCTTTAAAAAGGAGAAGGTAAAAGGCTTGTTGTTGTTGTTGGGTTTCCCGGGAAGTGATAGCTGTCACAATAACTTCATCAATGATGTATTAGTGACAGTGATGCTTGGTTCACTGTATGAGATCTATGTAAACAGCTCCAATGCTATTTTCTTTATTTTCTGAGATACATCAGCTAGCAAGCATCCAAAACGAATGACAAACATGTAATTCAAACTAGTATCCCAACATTAGCTTAATCTCATTCAAATCTAAGTAATGTGTCAAAAATATATTCTCTAGTTTATCATGTTGACACTGCTAAGCCAACTAACGTCAGCTAGACAACTCTACTCGCATTATCCTCAGTAAATTGGTTTCCATCCCCTGCGAGCTAAATTTAGTTACAGAATCCTTTATACTAGTTTACTGGTGTGGCTCTCTTGGAAGACCAATAGTACATTTTTGTCTGTGCGTTAGAACTTGGCTAACGCTCGATGTGGTCCAATGAACTATTCCAAGAAGCTGGCAAACTGCAACATTGATATTGCACAATTCAAACAGTCTCGTTCAATTACATACATTGGTGCAGATTACCTAGCTAAGTGTCCAGTTTGTTATCTAACTTGTTTGAGAGAAGGCTATCCGCTGTAAACATAATGGCATCTGACCTGACTGGACGTTCCACTGCAACACTAGCTTGCCAGTGTGGATAGAAGCTGGAGCCTGTGTATTGCTAGTTAGCAATACAAAGTTAGTTAGCTACTTTGCCAGGGCTAGCTGTTGGCATGTCAGTGAATGATGCAAGGACATGTTTCCGATAAACTATCCCAAGCAGACAAGCGACTAGCTAGCTGATGTTATTGATATCCAGGATAATATGCAGTGAGGTTTGCTAGCTGACTAGTTAACTAGTTAGCTAGGTTGCCCTTTACATCAAGTTAGCTAGTTTGCTAACTAGTTACCCATAACCATAAGGCTGGCTGGCTGACTATCATTTCAAGCTCTATAGCCAAACATTGTTTTCATGCAAATGAAACACCTCCTGTTGCCAACAAATGGCGGTTATTACTGCAGCACTCACTTGTGTAAAGAATATTTGTTTTTTGATAAGCAAATAATGTCTGGCTACATACTAGCTAACTTACTCTGATAGAGACCGAATGCTATCCGCGACATCACGTGAGCTCTGTGAATGGGCACAAGTGCGTTCTCTTCTGCTATGAAGCTGACGCGACCTGGGTCTAGCTGAAGCTAAATTAGCCTGCCACTCAAATGCATTAGCAAACTAGCATCTGAAACGCAGCGATTGAGGCCAGTTATCCCTCTGGAATGTAATAATATGTCCAGTGCCCTCTTATTCGTACAATGTGTTCATTAAACTTGCATGCATTTCTTTCTCGAAGGACAGTCCATTCGATTCGTCGTAGCTTGATAGATGCAGGCGACGTCTCTCCTTTCCAAACAACTTGCTTCATATGATCAAACTGGTGCATTCCATGAGGTGAGATCCCATTGTCCCATATTTCCTCGCATTCTCCGATTAATCCACATTTATGATTGCATTAATATGTTCATGTATTTAACTGCAGCCTTTAAACCGATGTTCCATATTATGTTGTTCTCCACCAATCTAAATCCAGTAGCTAGCTAGTCCTCTCCCAGACAGTATTTGATAGTTGTGAATGGATATCACACCATGTCCCAAGAGCAAGACAAAGACGCCACCAACTGGTCAGACTCCAGTATTGCAACAGTCCATACAGAATTCATCAGAATTACCGGTATTGTATCAATAGTCAATGAACAGGTAAAACGTTTTGTATAATTTGTTCTTTAAATTACCTTTACATTGGTGCAGTCAGATCTATAGGAGGCATGCTCTCTGATGAGAGGCAAGAAACGGATTAACGGTTTGTTCCATCAGAAGATGCGTCCCCATCAGAACACCAACATCCCCTCGGTGAGCTTCCACCACTTCTCCACACGTGGGACATGTTCAGGTGCCAATCGTTGTTGAACGTTCCCATGAATAAACACAGACACATGCATACACACACGATAACATACGCACTATACACACACCTACACGTTGATTTTGTGTTCACCTACAGCACCCGACACCTACAGCACCCGATGTCACAAGAAGGCCAAAAAGATCATCAAGGACATTGACCACCCGAGCCACTGCCTGTTCACCCCACTATCATCCAGAAGGCGAGGTTAGTACAGGTGCATCAAAGCTGGGACCGAGAGAATGAAAAACAGCTTCTATCTCAAGGCCATCAGACTGTTAAATAGCCATCACTAGCACATTAACGGCTGCTGCTACCTATATAAATCACTGGCCACTTTAAGACATTGAACACTAGTCACTTTAATAATGTTTACATATCTTGCATTACTCATCTCATATATATATATATATATATATATATATATATATATATATATATATATATAATGTTTTCTATAATATTCTACTGTATCTTAGTCCATGCCGCTCTGTCATTCCTCGCCCATATATGTATATATTGTTAATTCTATTCCTTACTTAGATTTGTGTGTATTGGGTATATGTTGTGAAATTGTTAGATATTACTTGTTAAATATTACTGCACTGTCGGAGCTAGAAGCACAAGCATTTCGCTACACCCGCAAAAATATCTGCTAAACACGTGTATGTGACAAATAAAATTTGATTTGATTTAGATATGTGGTAGTAGAGTAGTAGACTGAGGGCACACACTTAATGTGTTGTGAAGGTATTGTAATGTTTTAAAAATGGTATAACTGCCTTAATTTTACTGGACCCCAGGGAGAGCTAATGGGGATCCATAATAAATTCAAAAACAAATAGAACCGACAATGAAACCTTGTTCTACATGTCGGCGAGGCATGTTAACGAATACTGTATATCTAAACGTTCCAAAACGTTGTGTCCTGGTTCAGCCCCCAGTTACAGTTGCAGACAAAGGGCGCATTCCTGTGCCTAGGCGTTGCTGACGCAGGTCATTTCTTACAGCGCCTGGGTTGGTATTTTAAGTAACAGCTAACAACATCATACAGTACATTCGGAAAGTATTCAGACCACTTTACTTTTTCCACATTTTGTGACATTGCAGCCTTATTCTAAAATGTATAAATTTCTGTTTTTCCTCATCAATCTACACACAATACCCCATAATGAGAAAGTGAAATGTATTTTTGAAATTTTTGCAAATGTATTAAAAATATAAAACAGAACTACCTTATTTACATAAGTATTCAGACCCTTTGCTATGAGACATGAAATTGAGCTCAGGTGCATCCTGTTTCCATTGATCATCCTTGAGATGTTTCTAGAACTTGATTGGAATCCATCATTGGACATGATTTGGAAAGGCACACACCTGTCTATATAAGGTCCCACAGTTGACAGTGCATGTCAGAGTAAAAACCAAGCCATGAGGTGGAAGGAACTGTTCGTAGAGCTCTGAGACTGGATTGTGTCGAGGCACAGATCTGTGGAAGGGTACCAAAAGATTTCTACAGCATTGAAGGTCCCCAAGAACACAGTGGCCTCCATCATTATTAAATGGAAGATGTTTGGAACCACCAAGACTCTTCCTAGAGCTTCCTAGAGCCCGGCCAAACTGAGCAATCAGGGGAAAAGGGCCTTTGTCAGGGAAGTGACCAAGAACCCAATGGTCACTCTGACAGAGCTCCAGGGTTCCTCTGTGGAGATGGGAGAACCTTCCAGAAGGACAACCATCTCTGCAGTACTCCACTAATCAGGCCTTTGTAGTAGAGTGGCGTAATATGATCAAATGTTTTGGTTCTAGTCAATATTCTAGCAGCCGTGTTTAGCACTAACTGAAGTTTATTTAGTGCTTTAACCGGAGAGTAAAGCATTGCAGTAGTCCAGTCTAGAAGTGACAAAAGCATGGATGAGCTTTTCTGCATCATTTTTGGACAAAAAGTTTCCGATTTCTGCAATGTTACGAATATGGAAAAAAGCTTGATATGTTCGTCTAAAGAGAGATCAGGGTCCAGAGTAACGCCGAGGTCCTTCAGTTTTATTTGAGACGACTGTACAACCATCAAGATTAATTGTCAGATCCAACAGCAGATCTCTTTGTTTCTTGGGACCTAGAACTAGCATCTCTGTTTTGTCCGAGTTTAAAATTAAAACATTTGCCGCCATCCACTTCCTTATGTCTGAGACACATGCTTCCAGGGTAGGTAATTTTGGGGCTTCACCATGTTTCATTGAAATGTACAGCTGTTTGTCGTCCGCATAGCAGTGAAAGTTGAAGTAGAGAATATATATATATATATATATATATAGTGAAAACAATAGTGGTCCAAAAACGGAACCTTGAGAAACACCGAACCGTACAATTGATTTGTCAGACCATCCTAAGAGATGACCTGCTATCTTTCTTACAGATAAGATCTGAACCAGGCAAGAACTTGTCCGTGTAGACCAATTAGGGTTTCCAATCTCTCCAAAAGAATGTGGTGATCGATGGTCTCAAAAGCGGCACTATGGTCTAGGAGCACGAGGATAGAT